TTACAATGCCCTCTCCCCTTAACCTACATTCATGTCTGATTGAAGCCACAGGACATGAGAGAGCAGAGATGATGCTTGGCTGGATGGTGGGAGGACTAAAACTGGTTCTTTTTGCACAAGGGCAAACCAGGGGACAAGGAGCACTTTTCAGTGCCAGAAAAGTATTTTAAGGTAAAATGCATCAAAGTGTTATTGAACCGGGATGTGAAAGCTGACTGTGGGATGCAGGAGCAGGTAGAGGATGAGGAACTCAATCCAGCCCCCTCTGAAGAGCTGGACCAGGCCCAAAGGAGCTGGTTCTCTGACCTACATGCTGCAAGCTCCCAGCACGGCTTTGCAGGGGTATCATCTGTCATGTCTCCAGCATAGGAGGATCCCCAAAGCAGGAGCATCTGCAATATGGGCTGGAAACGAATGCATCATGCAGAAAGGCAAAAGCTGTGGAAGCTTCCCTGGTCCCAGGAAGGCAAAACCCAACGGCAATCATTCCTGTATACACCATGACCTCAAGAAGTTACCCCTATATTTAGGCACCAAAATGGGGGTGTCTCTTACAGCATAAGCTTACTTAACAGGAAAAACCTATGGATTTGCATCCATGGTGCAAAGGGAAGAGCTAAGAGCAGGGGAAGGGTTAATGCTGCAGCCATACAGATGCTCCACTGCTTCCCCCATGAAGCCAATGGGTCCATTCTCTGCAGTGCCCAGCGCCTGGCCCTTTCTCCCTGGGTAATCAGCTGGAAGGGAGCAGAGCCAGAGCAATCACTGCACCTCATTCCCCATCCACAATGGTGCCCGCAGGGCCAGGGGATGGAGGAGCACAGCCTGGCCCAAAGCGGGTCAATGCAAGCCCATCATTGAGCCTTTGTGCTCTACAAGCAGCTCAGAAGAGGAGGTGGAGGCAAAGGCATGAAGATAGCAGCAAGTAAATGGTACCCGAGTGTGTCCCACGACACCAGGGGATGAGCAGAGGGTGATGGGTGCCTCTGTATGGGCTGAAACCCTCCTGTAGGTATAGAAGAGGTTTTGGATACCTGTAGGTATCTCTGGAGACCAGTGAGGATGAGGAGGGATTGCTCCCAATCCCAGCCTTTAAGACACAGCCCCATCCTTCTCATTCTCCACCTATTAACCTGCTGCTGCCCTGCTTGGATGCAGTGTTAGGAGAAGGGACTTGGCACCTCTGCAGGGTGGGATTTAGACCTCACAACCAGCTCCTAAGGATCCCTGAGGGTCTCTCAAAGAGCATCCTTGGGTTTTACAACCCAGTGGAGCAGCTCACGGGCTGGAGCTGAGCCCAGGCAATTCACATTGAGGAGTTACCTAAGAAGGAGGCAGCTGATGTTCCTGGGAAGGGCAGGAGGGGAATAGATTGCACCAGGACAGATGTGCCTGTAGCAAGATGCTGCACCGAGCAGGAGGTAATGAATGCACAAGCGCGAGTGGATTTAGAGGATGCTCCCGTTCTTAGCATCATCATACCCCAGCACAAACGCTGCCTAAATCTCCCCTTGGAACCACATCCAAAGCCTTCTTACAGCATCAATGCTTTGTTACTAATCTGTGCAGCGAGCAGGGAGGGGAGAGATGGATTATTTATTTGTATGGGGGGGGTTAAGGCATAATCAAAGACAAAAAATCATCTTGGTGACGTGGCTGGGCTTCATCTGCTTCAAGCCATGCCCTGCATTAGGAGGATGCTGAGACCTGCTTGGCTAACACAGCCCTTCCCAAAGGAGATACCAGTTCAGGCCGTTCGGAGCAGAGAATCCCAACCTCCTGCACCAACAAGCCCCAAATCCTCTTTATATCACCTTAGACGAGAGGTGCTGTGCCCTAGTTCCTCATCTCCTCCCTTCCTCCGATGGGATGCAGTTGCAGTCTCCAGCTAAGCCTCTGAAACTGAATTAATTCACACCCATTTGTCCCCACACCAACACTGTCCTCCACTTTAAATAGCAATTCTGCCTCCCTGGTGCTCACCCCTTGGATGTATTTATAGGCAGCGAGCACATCCCCTCTCTGCCTTTGTTTCGCTGGGCTTTTATAGCCTCCCATAATAGCTCTCCATCCCTCTGATCAGCCTCAGAGCCCTGTTTCCTGCACCTGCTCCAGGCTGAGTTAATCCGTCTCAAGCACCAGATCTCAGAGCCTGGTCCTTCTACATTAACTCTTCCATACCCTCATCCCACAAACACCCTTTGCCTGGTTCCTTTCCGCCTTTCCACAGGACCAAACCCAGCCCGACGGGATCCAGCCTCCAAACAGAGCACAAAGCCCCACTCCAGGGCCTGAGGTAAGTCCTAGGGGGCATCTCTCCACCTTGCATCTCATCCTCAGGGCCAGCCCGTTCCAGAGCAGAGCCTCTCATCCACCCCATGCAGATGGTGCCCCTCAGCTTGGTTTTGCAGGTGAATCTTGGCATGAGAATGGGCTCAGATCTTCCCTCAGAGGCTTTAAGCTGCTCTGCATGGGGTTAATCTGTCCAGCAGTGCCCTTTGCCACCTCCCTTAGCCCTCCAACAGAAGTCTTCTCCATTGGTACGCTCCCACGTGCACTTAGGGTATGAAGCCCCATCAAGTCCAGGAGACCTGAAGCCCTTTGCCTACAGGTTGCTCCAGCACAGACCCCTTTGGTAACAGCCCTGGTTTTCCACCTCCCTCCACCCCGGGAGCCTGAGGATGCTCTCCATGGTTTTAATACGGATGCTCTCCGTGTGGACATGGTTTAGTGGTGGCCTTGGCAGGGGTAAAGGTTGGATGTTAAAGGGTGATGACATTGAAGACCTTGATGATGTTAAAGGTCTTTTCCAACCTGGTTGATTCTATGGGCATCCATCACCAGCTAAAAGAGCTCCCTTGAACAGACAAGAGCAGGAATTTCGCTGTGCTCAGGGCCAGGTCAAAGCCCCACCTAAGCCATTTCTTACTACAACAGGCAATGATGTGGGGCTGGTGGCAGAAAACAGGGCTGGACTTCACCCTCCCACAACCCTCCCACTTTGGTCGTGTCACTTTGCCCCTTCACTATGCGTCATTGCTTTGCACAGAGGATTACTGCTCCTGTGTGGCACACGCGGTGTCCCTAAGGGATGACAAAGGGGATTTCGGCTCCTGCCACAGCCAAGCCCTGCTGCCTTCCTCAAAACCTGCTTTTCCTTCCGCTAATGCCTTGATCCTCAGCTCTGCTGCCAACGAGAAAGCTTTTCCCAACCACTTCTGGCACATGGCTCCTGGCAAGCACCAGGCGCCGAGCAAGGCAGTGCCCATGCACGCAGCAGCATCCGTACACGGATACCCACTGCAGGGGGAATTCAGACCTCACAACCATCCCCAAAGGGTGTCTCAGGGTCTCTAAAAGAGCCCCCACGAGTCCTCCTTGGGTGCTATAACCCTGTGGACCGGCTCAAGGGCTGAAGCTGAGCCCCAGGAGGTTCACATCAGAGAATGACTCAAATAAATAGGAGGCACCCGATGGCCTCGGGAAGGGCAGGAGGGAAATGGATTGCAGCAGGGCAGATCTGCTTGGTGTAACATCTTGCTACAGCCACGAGGCAAGGGTGCTCAAGTAAGGTGCTGCTCCTGCATCCATGCCTGACTTTGCTGCTTCTCATCCTCCCTGGTTCTTGCAGCCCCTAGGATGCTCCCAACACGTAACAACCGCTCCACCTGCATCCATAAGCTCGTCCCTCCTCAATTCATGGAATCACAGAATCAACCAGGTTGGAAAAGCCCTTTAAGCTCATCCAGTCCAACCATTCCCAGCACTGCCAAGGCCACCACTGCCCCATGGCACTGAGGCCTCGTCTCCACGGGGTGTGAACCCTTGCAGGGCCGGTGACTGCAGCCCTGCCCTGGGCAGCCTGTTCCAATGCCTGAGCACCCTCTGGGGCAGGAATTGTTCCTCAGCTCCATCTAAACCTGCCCTGGTGCAGCTTGAGGCCGTTTCCTCTTGTCCCATCCCTTGTTCCTTGGGAGCAGAGCCCAGCCCCTCCTGGCTCCATCCTCCTCTCAGGCACTTGTAGGGAGCAATCAGGTCCCTCCTGAGCCTGCTCTGTTCCACACTAACCCCCCCCCCCCAAGTTAACTCACTGCTACCCCGAGCAGTGACCCAGCCAGGCTCTCTGCATCTGCCTTGGCCTGCCCCCCACCCATGTACAATGTGGGGTGGGAGATGCGCCCGCAGGGACCCTGTGTGTGAGCCCTGTGGGATGTGAGAGTGGATGGAGATGACAGGAGGGGAAAGTCTGCAGCGGGATCCTCGCTGGATGCAGCGAGAAAAGCAGCTGAGGGTTTATAACAGCATCCTCCGTGCTCTCCCCTCCTTTCATCCCCATTTCTCTGCCCCCTCTTCCCACCAAGCCTGGAGCGACCGCAGCATCCAGGCAGGAACACGATGGGAACTGGTAATAAATACCTGCTATCAAACCCAAGCATCACACGCGGGTGGATCTGCAGAGCCAGGCGAGCAGCCTGCGCTCACCCAGCAGCTACCCGAGTGGGAGGGGAGGGATGGAGCCGCTTCCAACGGGACACCATCCATTGGGAAGCACCAGGTTGGTTTCTCAGGTCCAAAATGACATTTCTCAGGGTAGGAGGAAAGGGGATGGTGCCTTCCACCCCCGGGATATGGGAAATCCAGGTCCATTTATCCACTTGGAAACCATTAAAGCCATCAGCCCTGCGCCCCAGCAGCATCCCCAGGAGCAGGAGCTCTCTCTTGCCTTAACTTTCCATGGGACTTTCGAAAAGCCCTTTGGGTTTGTCCCAAACCCATGGATTAAGGAATAACACTGAAACCTCAGGCTTCTTTCCGGGTGCAGAAATCCCACTTTCCAGCCAGCACTGAGGCCTCGCTGCTCCAAGTTCCCATCCAGCTTGGCTCCACCATCAGGAACCGGCCAGACTGGGAATCAGCGATGGGGCTTCAACCACCCGGGATGCAACTTCCACATGCAGCAGCCCCACGCACCCCCAATTCCAGCATCCCCTCCAACTCACCCCAGCGCCCGCTGCAGGCAGAACACGCCCCACACAAGGCAGTGCACGGATGGATGCTGGTGAGCGGTTATGGGGTGTTCACCCCCCACCCACCCCACAACTCACACACAAACAGCCCCGGTCCCACAGGTGCCCCGAGCATCCCCCTTGTGGGGCTGGACCCCTCGGGCCGGGCACGGAGCTGTTCCCCATGGAAGGGGCAGTGATGGGGGGCCGGGGATGAGCCGCTGCCCCCCCTCCCGTCCCCGTCCCTTCCGGTCTCTGCTCTTACCTGCCCGCAGCCCCTGCCCGCTGCCGCCGCTCCGGGCGAGCCGCTGCCCGCAGCGCTTCGGCTCCCGCAAGCACCGCCCCGACGGGGCGGGCAGCGGCAGCCGCGCCTGCGCCGGGAACGGCAGCGGGGATGGGGACGGGGAACGGGAACCGGGAATGGGAGTGGGAATGAGAACCGGGAATGAGGAACGGGAATGGGAATGGGAACGGGAACGGGAACCGGGAGTGGGAATGGGAACGGGAACGGGAATGAGAACCGGGAGTGGGAATGGGAACGGGAACGGGAACGGGAATGAGAACCGGGAGTGGGAATGGGAACGGGAACGGGAACGGGAATGAGAACCGGGAATGGGAATGGGAACGGGAACCAGGAATGGGAACGGGAATGGGAATGGGAACGGGAACCGGGAATGGGAACGGGAATGGGAACGGGAATGGGAACGGGAACCGGGAATGGGAACGGGAATGGGAATGGGAACGGGAACGGGAATGGGAATGGGAACGGGAACGGGAATGGGAACCGGGAACGGGAATGGGAACCGGGAATGGGAATGGGAACCGGGAATGGGAACCGGGAATGAGAATGGGAACCGGGAATGGGAACGGGAATGGGAACGGGAACCGGGAATGGGAATGGGAACCGGGAATGCGAACCGGGAATGGGAACCAGGACCGGCACCGGCACTGGGACCCGACCGCGGGAACGGGATCCGGCTCCGGGAATAGGAACCAGGAGAGGGAAACGGAACCGGGAATGGGAACCGGGCCCCCGGTGGGGATCTGGCACCGGGAATTGGAACCAGAAGCGGGAATGGGAACCAGAACCGGGACCCCAATCAGGAACTGGCACCGGGAGTGGGAACCGGGACAGGGAATGGGAACCAGGGGCAGAAATGGGAACCAGCACCGGGAATAGGAACCGCGACCGGCCCCGGGATCAGGCTCCGGGAAGCGGCCCCGGGAACAGGAACTGGCACCGCGAAGCCGCATTCCCAACCCTGGGAAGTGGGACTGGCACCTCCCGGTGGTGGGAACTGGAAGCGGCACCGGTGAGCGCCGGAGAACTGGGAACCCCCCTGGGAACCGGGACCTGGGTCCAGGCACCATCGTGGGAATGGGGGACTGGCAGCACCTAGATGGGGATCAGGGAACGGGGGCTGCCCAGGCACCAGCACCAGCAGTTGGGTACCAGGAACTGGGAACAGCCACTGGGACCAGCAGCACCCTGGTACTGGGCACCGGGACAAGGTCCCACCGGCTCTTGCACTGGGATGGGAACGGGGCAAACTGGGATCTGGGCATGCAGGGCCACTGGGCAGCCGGGGGGCATGAGTTCATCACCCATGGAGGGTGCAGGGGAGAAGCATGCAGGATTGGGGTGCAAAAGGGACATCCCCCAGTCAAACACACTCCCAGCCCACAAATACGCATCCAAAGTGGTAAAAATGAACAAAACCAACCCAAAAGTGCATCCCGCAGGGCAAGAAGGAGCCAGTGGTGTGTTACAGACCCTCTGACACGGGTAATGGATGTGATGCACCAGCTTGTACGCCAGTGTTCGGGGTTCGTCATGAATCAGGCCAAAAAGAGATGGCAAGTGAAGAACAATTAAACAATGCAATGATGTAATTGTAAATGATGGGAATAAACTTTCCACGTTCAAAATGATGGTGGTTGGACTCTAAGACAGCAAAAAGCAGGGCTAAGGAGTAGCTGGTCCCTGGCAGTGACAGAGGGGATGCTTAAGAACATCTGCTTGCCACATCTGGGGTGATGCAGTGATAAGGTTAGAAAGGAGATGGAGCATTGGCCTGGCACAAGCTCCTGTACCCACCAAGGGCTCACCTGCAGCTGGACGTGGTCAGCAGCACCCATGGGGATGATTCAGCTCCTCTAGGGCCAGGCTTTTCCTCAGGTTGCTTAAAATCCAAACCCTTCTGTGCGTTTCCTTGGTATTTTATAGGGATGAGCAGGGGCTGGAGCAGCTCCCTTATGGAGACAGGCTGAGAAAGTTGGGGCTGCTCAGCCTGGAGAAGAGAAGCTGCGTGGAGACCTCAGAGCATCTCCAGTATCTGAAGGGAGCCTACAGGGATGCTGGGGAGGGACTCTTCATTAGGGACTGCAGTGATAGGACAAGGGGTGATGGGTTCAAACTGAAACAGGGGAAGTTTAGATTGGATATAAGGAAGTAAGTTTGTTACTGTGAGGGTGCTGAGGCACTGGAATGGGTTGACCAGGGAGGTTGTGAATGCTCCATCCCTGACAGTGCTCAAGGCCAGGTTGGACACAGGGGCTTGGAGCAAGCTGCTCTAGTGGAAGGCGTCCCTGCCCGTGGCAGGGGGGGATTGGAACTGGATGATCTTAAGGTCCTTTCCAACCCAAACCAGTCTATGATGATTGTATGACCCTGTATCTAGGACCCCACATCATTACCAATGGCCCTCACATCAGCAACCAGGCAGGGCAGGGATGGATGCTGCTGCCGCTGCTCCCTGGGAGGGCGGGGAGAGCATGGAGCCTGTTTTGATTTGCGATGTGCTTCACTCTATTAGCGTTAATTACTGAAGATCATCATCCATCACTGCTCCCACCAGTGCAGACACCTCCTGCCCTGCTCACTGCTGCGGGCTGGCTCTAACAGCACTGGAGGGAAACAGGAACATTCCTGTCGTGGTTTCCACCTATTTGAGCCCAAAGCTGCTAATGGGGAGCATCTTGCTGCTGGGGACGTGGGGATCAAGGGGGGGGTTTGTCACCAATGGGTGATTAAAAAGAGGAGGAAGGAAAACCTAAAAAGAAGAGACAATGGCATCACCCTTGAGATGAAATAACAGGAAAGCATTAGGGAAAAGCTGGGAAACATAAGGGAAAAGCTCCTGTGATGAATGAAGGCAGCGAGCAGGTCTCCAGCCATTCCCAAAGGGATGTGGAGCCTGAGCCGGCTCCCGTTGCAGGCCCGCATCTCCCTGATTGCCTTTGGTTGCATTTTGGATTCGAGGCTCAGCAGGGGAAGGCGAATTATGTAAATGTGATTTATAATGATGCTGTGTTGCTCCTCCATGTGCAAATGAGGCCGCGGTGATGGGGGTGACACAAGGGTTGCAGGGAGGGGGGGGGGGGGAAGGAAGAAATAGGATTCCTTTAAATCTGGACTCTAAAAATAAGCAGGAATAAGCCAAAAAGCGAAGAGGAGGAAGACTGCAGCCGGTGATTCCTCAGAATGGGATTTCCTATTTCCTTCTGGGGTTTGAAAGCAGATGTGAGGTTTTTCCTCCCTTATGGGAGTAGTTGCTCAGCAGGGGACCCCCAAGATGAGGTTTGGTGCTGGGGTGGTGCAGGGTGAGGGTCTGCCTGCCCAGGGGTGATGGGAGGTGAAGAACTGCCCACCCCTGCTCTATGAGGCCATGTCTCCCCCTCCGAGGGCATGTTTTGGGGGAGAAATGGGAGGAAATGGGAAAGAAAAGTGAGGCAATGACTGCAGATGGGCAACGGGTGCCCATATCCTCATCTTCGTACCATGGGAGATGGAGGGAACAACCTCCAGTGGCCCCACTGCAGCACCTGAGCACTGTTGATCCCATCAGGTCACAGTCTTCTGCTCCTCTTTGTAGATACCAAGAAACGAGCCAACGACCATCCCTGTGATCATCCATCCACGTTGGCATTAAACCTCATCTTCCCGAGTTCAAGTTGTTCGCCCCGGTTGCAGCCTCTGGAATAGCACTAATGTATTCTCCCCTTTCCCTCTCCACATGATTGCAGCATAATCTCCTCCTCACTTGATTTATTTAAGCAGGCCTTCAGATGCTCCAGTAATGGGAGTCATTTGGGTCCCTCTGCACATAACTATTTATCTATGGCCGTGCATTGGAAGCGCAGAGCCAGTTGGCAGGAGAGAGGCAAGGCTGGGGTCACAAGGATGCTGAGTTACTCGCTGTCAGAAATAGCTGGTGGAGACAGTGAAATACAGCAATGCCAGTCAAGGTCATAGTCAATCACTGGTGGGAGGGGAAAGGCATTAATTGGGTGGTTTATTTATGGGGTCATCATGACCAAAGGACCAGCAGTTGGTAATGGAAAAGGGAACTATGGAAACTCCTGCCTTGGAGGAAGCAGCTCTGGGATAAGAAGCCAAATTGTAGTTCTTGACCATGATGGGGAAGGGCTGAGGGACCTGGGGGGTTCAGTGTGGAGAAAAGAAGGCTCAGGGGGGACCTGATGGCTCCCTACAAGTGCCTGAGAGGAGGATGGAGCCAGGAGGGGCTGGGCTCTGCTCCCAAGGAACAAGGGATGGGACAAGAGGAAACGGCCTCAAGCTGCACCAGGGCAGGTTTAGATGGAGCTGAGGAACAATTCCTGCCCCAGAGGGTGCTCAGGCATTGGAACAGGCTGCCCAGGGCAGGGCTGCAGTCACCGGCCCTGCAAGTGTTCACACCCCGTGGAGATGAGGCCTCAGTGCCATGGGGCAGTGGTGGCCTTGGCAGTGCTGGGAACGGTTGGACTGGAAGAGCTTAAAGGGCTTTTCCAGCCTGGTTGGTTCTGTGATTCTATGATGGAGAAGTTGAAGTAGCATTTGATGCTCATGGAAAGCCCATGTTGCTCCCCTTTGTAAAGCCCATCTTGGGGCTGAACTCAGCAAAGCTCCTTGCATGCAAAAGCTGGGAGGTTCTTAGCAGTGGTAGAGGTCTCAGAGGGCACCTGAGATCCTCTGGTTGCTCAAGCAGACAGGTCCTTGCCTGAGCTTTTGCACCCCTCCTGGCAGACAGCTCAGTAGCCGCATATCCCTTCTGTTAATGCTTGTATTTCAGTTCCCATTTGAACTCCATCAGCATCTTCTCGCAGCTATTACACCTTGTAATACCATTTTCCTCACAGTTTAAAGGCTCCCTAAGAAGCATCTCCCCCCTTTTCTTTCTCTGCTACCATGGACCAGCTAAGGTAGGAAAATCAGTTAGGAAGCTGGGCAGGTATGAATCATAGAATCAATTGGGTTGGAAAAGCCCTTTAAGCTCATCCAGTCCAAGCATTCCCTAGCACTGCCAAGGCCACCACTGCCCCATGGCACTGAGGCCTCGTCTCCATGGGGTGTGAACCCTTGCAGGGATGGTGACTGCAGCCCTGCCCTGGGCAGCCTGTTCCAATGCCTGAGCACCCTCTGGGGCAGGAATTGTTCCTCAGCTCCATCTAAACCTGCCCTGGTGCAGCTTGAGGCCGTTTCCTCTTGTCCCATCCCTTGCTCCTTGGGAGCAGAGCCCAGCCCCTCCTGGCTCCATCCTCCTCTCAGGCACTTGTAGGGAGTGATCAGGTCCCCCCTGAGCCTTCTCTTCTCCACACTGAACCCCCCAGCTCCCTCAGCTGTTCCTCATAAGACTTATGTAATCCCTGGGGGCCAACAGATCCACACCTTTTAGCTTATTCCATGACCTCCCACAGGAGATCAGCATGATGATGGCAGCCAGGTCTTTAACAACAGCAGTGCCTGGCCAGAAGAGAGATCTTTGCATCCAAAGATCCGTCTCATCATAGGTAGGCCCATTTTTCCTCCCTGTTTCTGCATATAATGCAAGGTGGAAGCCATAAACCCTGATTAAAACCTGCTCCACCCAGCATCCGGCTGGCAAACAGCTCGTGCTAACTGATAACTCTGCTGGGAAATCCACAGCATTAAATCCTCCACTTAAATGCCTGTATCAGCACTTCCTGCTGCACAGCCACAAATCAGGCAGCTCTTCAATGGGCTAGGAAGCAAGATGAAAGTCAAACAGCAAGAAGCTGGCTTGAAGAGCAATGGGAAGATGACACAGGGGATTATACCGGAGGAGGGAGTTGATGTAGCTGAGATCTGGGAGAGGTGTCCCAGATTGATGTTAGACATTGGCCTTTTCCTGGAACCAGCAAGGTAAATGAGCAGAGGGAAGGTTGTCCATCATCACATCTATAGAAGGTAACTCAGGTACCACAAACCAAGCTTTGGGCTTCCTCTAAGGGCTTTCCTACCCCACATCCATCCATCTCCTGCGTGAGCACTGCTTATGAATGTGACTTCGGAGGAAGATGCTGATGGTGTTGCAAAGCCTGGCCTAGGGATGTGCTGCAACGTTAAACTGAAACGTGCCAGCCCAGCCCTGCAGCACTTGGTGTTACCTGCACGTAAGGAGGTGAGGTTGGGGCAAGAGTCCTGGCTAAGCCCCAGCTGGGTTTGCAGCCTGGCTGAGCAGAATGGGGAGAGAGCAGCTAAAGGGCAGCTCGGAGGATGCAGCTGTGAGCAGTGTTCAGCCTGGAGAAGAGAAGGCTCCTGAAGGGGAGACCTTGGAGCAGCTCCAGTGCCTGAAGGGGCTGCAGGAAAGCTGGAGAGGGGCTTGGGACAAGGGCCTGTAGGGACAGGCCAAGGGGAATGGCTTTAACCTGCCCGAGGGGAGACTGAGCTGAGCTCTTAGGCAGAAGCTCTTCCCTGGGAGGGTGCTGAGGCACTGGCACAGGGTGCCCAGAGGAGCTGTGGCTGCCCCATCCCTGGCAGTGCTCAAGGCCAGGCTGGATCAACCTGTTCTAATGGAAGGTGATGACAACTCCTGGAACCATGCTCCTTCAGCCCTTCCTCAGCTGAAAAGAGCTAAATCTTCCATGACACCCCAGTGCAGGACGAGGTGGGGATTGTTCAGCCATGGGTGCTGCCCTCTGCCAAAGCCCTGACACAGATCAAGGTGCTGGCCATGAGCTCCCACCTTGCCGGTGTTTCTCATGGCACAAGCAGCATGGGAGCTCTTGGAAGTCAACAGCATCCCCTGGCCACAAACCCACCAGGACTTTGGTCACGGTTTGGCCATCACCACCCAGCTGGAGGGGACCAGGGCTCAGCTGCTTTGGCAGGGATGCAGCTCCGTTTGGGAGCAGGCAGCATTGCAGGAGTTCAGTCAATGACCTTGAGTTTCCCATAGGGTTTTCCAAGGTGGTTTGGAGAAGAAGCTGATTGCCAGCAAGCCGTGTTCCCTGGAGCAAAGAGGAAGGGCAGGAGCAAACGGCACGGCTGGCCTCTCAGCTGCTCTGTATTTATGGTAGGTCAGAAGCTGCCCTAACAAATGCTGACTCCAGACAGCGCTGCCAAGAGCTTTTTAGGCAGTTTTCCTGCTGATTCTCTTCTTCACCCCCAAAAAGACAATAAAAATACACCTTTGGGTTGGTTTTGTTCCCTTTCTGTCACCATCTCGGCCTTCTGCTCCCAGCAGAGAGACATCTGAAGGTCCCATTTCCAGCAGCTCCCAAGAGCGTGCTGAGAGCTGCACAAAGCAGAGCCACACATCAAGGCTCTTGCACACAGCTCTTCTTGCTGATAAGCACCTTGTGATGTTAGGACAAATGCTGATCTGGTGTAGCTGAGCCTGAGCCTTGCTTGATAACAGCTTCCTCCTTCAAGTCACGCTCACTGTGGAAACTGGTGGCTTCTTTCTGAAGGACTCAGGCAGGATTTGCTTTTCCTGAGCAGATCTTTGAATCCCAGCCTGGTTTGGGTTGGAAGGGACCTTAAAGCTCCTCCAGCTCCAACCCCTGCCACGGGCAGGGACCCCTTCCACTAGAGCAGCTTGCTCCAAGCCCCTGTGTCCAACCTGGCCTTGAACACTGCCAGGGATGGGGCAGCCACAGCTTCTCTGGGCACCCTGTGCCAGCGCCTCAGCACCCTCACAGGGAAGAGCTTCTGCCTAAGAGCTCAGCTCAGTCTCCCCTTGGGCAGGTTAAAGCCATTCCCCTTGGCCTGTCCCTACAGGCCCTTGTCCAAAGTCCATTTGGATGCAGCGTTGTGATGCTCTGGAATACAGTGCTATGGTTCCTGGGAAGGCTTCTCTACCAACCCCAATACTATGATATTCCCAAGGCCCACCTAAGCTTCAGCAAACCCTGCTGAGTAAGCTGTGTGTTTGAAAACCTCATTTCCTTGGCTCTCCACACAGCTTCCCCCCCTCCTTTCACACAGCATAACTGCATCCGTGAAGTGACTGAATCACGGTACCGCTCTGAGCAGACCCGTGGTGCTGCCAAGAAGCTGTTGCCTCATTAAATCTCTGTCAGCTCTCCTTTCGCTCGCCCTGGGATGCGTGCACGAGCTCAGAATTCGGGCTTTTTTTGGTGTGTTTTAGGTTCTTCCTTTTCCTAAAGGAGTCAGCGTTGTGCAGTCCATGGGAAGAGCAATGGAGCAGGACCCAGGAACCCTTTGATCCTGCAATAAGGGGAAATGTTAATCCATCTTTTGGGGTAAAATATATCCAGGTTAGAGTTAATGCTTTCTGGTTAAGAGCAGTTAACTCCAGTTCTCTCCTGACTCTTGGGTTGCAATTAGGCCTGATCCCAGTAACAAAGCACTGCCAGCCTTGGCTGGGACTGGGAGAGGAGATCGAGGGAAAAGAGAGGTATTGCAAGGCATGGCAGGGCTGATTCCCTGCTTGGCTCTGTTCCCTCTGAATCAGCAGGGAGGCAATTAATACCCCAGGCTGGCAATAGGAGACAGCAGCTAGCTAGGTGATGATATGGACCTCCTTACGATCCGAGGTGCTCTTAGTTCTTTAATAACCCGAGTAATCTCTCTCATTGCCAGCTGTGAAGAAGGGGCTGTGTGAATTAGTGAGCAAGTGCAGTGAGTGGTGCATTGGGTAAGGAAAAGCCAAGGCAAAATGCTGAGCTTTGCCTTAAATTCTCAGCAGAGCCTCTTCTATCATAGATGCCCCATCCCTGGCAGTGCTCAAGGGCAGGTTGGACACAGGGGCTTGGAGCAAGCTGCTCTAGTGGAAGGGGTCCCTGCCCGTGGCAGGGGTTAGAGCTGGATGAGCTTTAAGGTCCTTTCCAACACAAACCAAGCTGGGATTCAGTGAGTGTTTGCAGCCTAAATCCAGCCTTGGGACTTGCCGTGGTGCCTTCAGTGGGCTTCAGGTGGTCTGGGCTGTGGAAAGAGGTATTTGCTGCTGTGTGGGGCCAGTGGGATGTGCTTGGGATGCTTGATCTGGGTGCTGCATCCTTTGGTCTTGCTCCATGGGTTCCCAGAAGGATGGCACTGTCTGATATGGGCGTCCCTGAGTTTTAAAGAGGGAAAAGGGAGAAAAAACATACCCAGCAGTGGTCATATAGCACAAAAAGACCAGTCGTCATGTGTGAGGCTGGGAACTCACACTGCCCAAGGATATAAACCCATCCCCAAGCATCCAGATTGTTTCCTCTCTGCACATGGTATTTTAATAAGTCTAATTATATAAACAGGCAGTGCAATGTCTTTTCGTTGCTGTATGTCTTTGCCAAAATAGAGGGCACTGATGCCAAAAAAAAGAGAGGGAAAAAGGATTTCCGAATTGAGAGATGGGGAAGTGTTTATCATCCAGTTCAGTGATACTAAAATAATGCAGTTCAGTGACATCAATAGTCCAGGGGAAAAGAGGAGGATGGAAATACCCTTCCCATGCAGCTTCTTCCCAGGAGAAAAGCCCAAAGGGGGGACAAGGCATGTATCCAGTCAAGGGAAAACATCTCATCTCAGCCTCCCCTCTGGCAGGTTAAAGCCATTCCCCTTGGCCTGACCAATGCTGAGATCTCATGGTGTGTCCAGGCTGGGATTGTTGCTGTGATGGTTGTGCAAACCTGACACGGGGCTGCTGCTCCAGGAAGGGATCTGCTGGGATGTAACATGGATCATGGTATGGGAAGAAGGTCTTTTACTTCATCCTGAACACAAACACCATGTGATGGGAGCATATTGACAGACCTAGTATCAAATGTCCTGGGCCTTACTGAAGAGCCACAGCTGCTCTGGAGGGGCTTGCGTGAGCGCATCAGCTGCAAAGCAGGTTGACAGTGAACTGTCAAATTTAGGGTGACGTGGCAGAGAGATCTTCAGCAGAAACAAGTCCATATTGTCTCCAACTGATGCTAGCAGCAAGGAAACACAGCTGGAGTTTGTTTGCCTTTCAGATAACTTGTATAAAATATCCCTCCTACAACAGGTCTGCTCTGATGCTGTTGTTTGCGGGTTCATTGCTGGTTTTCATCTTGTAACTTAATCTTGTTCTTCTTCCAGCCGAGGTGGGGTGTTGAAAACAAGAAGATTAAAGAAAAAACACCAAAGAAGTAGAAGGGGAACAAAGGGAAAAACCAGGAAATCCCTTGGAGGACTTCAAAGGAGCAAAATGCTGTTAAGCAATGACTCACTGGACAGGTTTGCCTGGGTGCAGAGTGGATTTGGCTGTCCTCTTCATCACTTCTCTTACCTGAGAAGCTGGACTTGTCCCCAGGCTCCTACAACACTGCAGTATTTCAACAGCTTTACTCCGTTCTGCTGTTCAGCAGTGAGTCAACACAGCAGCTATGAGGAAAAAAGCAGTGCTAAGGTTAAGCATCCACGTAAATCACTGCAGCTCTATCAATGTCAGGGGGTTGACATCAGTTTACATCAGCAGAGTAACTCAATTAATTCAGTCTCTGTGTGATCATGTTAGCTGCTGGTCATTAGCATCCACCTACCTGAGCTCAGTGATGAGAAACCAGAGTCAGAGGCCTCCATGTCTCGAGGTGTCACTGGGTGCTGTGCTGTGGGCGCACGGTCCACAGGAGCCGCACGCATCAAGCTTCATTTACTCCCTTTCTATGTGCTTATCAGTGCCATTAATTACTGCTAATTTCATTAAGTCAAGGTTAGCCTCTTGCATGCAAATGACCAAGTCAGTCTCAGTGAAGGAGACTCATGAGGTTGAATGTTTTTCAGGAGCTATTTGGGTTGCAGGAGCAGCTGGAAAGTGTCATGCACTGAGCCCCTTGGGTTTTGGATGTGAGCAAGGTGAGGTACCAGCTTGGGGCTGTCTCACCTTGGTGAGGACTTTAGGAGCCAGAATGCTGAATTAACTACATTGACTGCAAAATAGGTCTGAAAAGTAAGTCCATGCCGTTTCTTCTTGTAGGTTGGGATGTTTTTATCCGTCACACATAGTGCTCCAAATATCATTAGTTCCATGCTGGTATAAGGTGAATGAGGACATCATCCCGGGTCTGCTCATGCTAAGGGCACAGGGTTCCTCCTTGAGGTCCAGGTCTCACCACATTATCCCCTCTTGGCTGAGGCTGAATCCAGACATTTGTCCTTGTCCTGCTTCTGGTGATGCTTCCTCGATGCCAGCACAATGGTGGTGGAGTTGTCTGTCTGTCCTGTCCCCATTGAGGACCCATAAAAGGAGCTCTGCTGAACCCCAATCTGGTGTTGGTGTTGGACCTACACCTCAGTGCAACCCAAGCTTATCTTGTCTAAGGTGTTGGAGAAGGAGCCGTTGGGGAGGCAGATGGCCCTCAAGATGTTCTCTGAGGACACAGAGCTACTTGATCACAGATCCACCTCCAGCCAGTTCGTGTCTTGTTTTCCATAAGGCCAAGAGATAACATAAGCATGTTCAACAGAAGCATGTTGAGTGCTTGGTCCCTCTGGGTAAGAGGCAAGCCAAGATCACTTGGGCTTCTTGAGGTACATGTCCTTACTCAATGCAACCTGCAAAAGCAGTAGTAGTTAGGGCAGTTTCAGAGGTCCTGTGAGCCTACCTGAAGCTCTAGGCACCTACTCTGCTTGCCAATAGGAGATGAAGGCCATTCAAGGCCATGCTGGAAGGGGCTTGGAGCATCCTGGTCTAGTGGAAGGTGTCCCTGCCCCTGGCAGGGGGTAGGAACTGGATGAGCTTTAACATCACTTCCAATCCAAATCATTCCATGATTCACAGCCAAAAAGGAGTCACCCACTGACCCACAGAGACACCTCCATTATCCCCTCCATCTCCATTCATGCAGCACCAGAAGTCCAGGCTGGATCACTAATTCCTCTGCCACAGTGGCAGCAACTGCTTCTATTGTGGGTACAACACTGAGCACACACAGGTCTCTGGTTAGAGCCACTGGAACTGAAGTGTTGCAGATGTATAGCTTCAATTTTGGCCTTTGACCAGGCTGAATAAAGCAAAATCAAGGGGGGGGGGAGACTATGGAGGGGAATGGGAAATTAGGAAAGCTGTGAGCAAATCTGCAGTCTTGAAAAGGAATTGCCAGGCTCCAAATTGAATTTTCTGGTTGGCAGGAGGTGTTTGACACAACCACAATGTTTTCATCCCCAGGGAAATTTCCAAGTAATACTCAGATCCAGGTTAGCCGCAGGCTCCAAATGCAAAGCTGGATTTCACCCAGCCCAGCGTTCAGGGAATGCTTCTCTGTGGAGTGCGGACGTGCCTCTGTGTGCAGCATCCCCAAGCAAGAACCGAGGGGAGGTTGCACTGGTTCTCCCAGTGCATTTGGGTTATAACAACCCCATGCAACACTCCAGGCTTGGGGAAGAGTGGCTGGAAACCGCTCATGGAAAAGGACCTGGGGATCCTTGAGCAGCTCATGCCCAGGTAGCCAGGAAGCCCCCAGCACCCTGGCCTGGATCAGCACCACTGCGGCAGCAGGGCCAGGGCAGGGATTGTGCCCCTGTGCTGGGCACTGGTGGGGCTGCACCTCAAATCCTGTGTTCAGCTCTGGGGAGAGACATGGAGGTGCTGGAGTGGGGCCAGAGAGGGGCAGCGGAGCTGGTGCAAGGCCTGGAGCCCAAGTGGGATGGGGAAGGGCTGAGGGAGCTGGGGGGTTCAGTCTGGAGAAGAGAAGGCTCAGGGGGGACCTGATGGCTGCCTACAAGTGCCTGAGAGGAGGATGGAGCCAGGAGGGGCTGGGCTCTGCTCCCAAGGAACAAGGGATGGGACAAGAGGAAACGGCCTCAAGCTGCACCAGGGCAGGTTTAGATGGAGCTGAGGAACAATTCCTGCCCCAGAGGGTGCTCAGGCATTGGAACAGGCTGCCCAGGGCAGGGCACGCACCTTGGAGACGAGGCCTCAGTGCCATGGGGCAGTGGTGGCCTTGGCAGCGCTGGGGAATGGTTGGAGTGGGTGAGCTTAAAGGGCTTTTCCAGCCTGTTTGATTCCATGATTCTATCACATTCACACCACTGGCTATAGCAGGTTTATGCCTTGTGGTCACTGGATATTCAGCTCAAGGCTGTCCCTGCAGAGACACAGATGGAGAAAATGGGGTCTCTGAGGAGCTGGGATTGCTGCCAGAAGTGGGGGAAATACCTGGGGGTCACCAGAGGAGCCTGGCTGCTGGGATGTGATGGAACTGGCTAAGTCAGTGCCTTCTGGTCCATGGGTTCTGCCTGGAGAGGTTCTGCCCTGCAGCGATTATCCTCCTCCCACTGAAACAAACAGGGAAAGGATGAGGCAAAGGATGTGCAATCTGCACCTCCAAGGTGATGGCACGTTCTGACTCCTGCCTTTTCCTCTCCCATCCATGTCACGCACCTGAAGTCCCTTTAACACTGGGTTTTGCATTTGGAGATGAGAAGATCCTGCACTATTTGCACCTCCAAGCAAGGTCCAGTGCTTAAAGGGCTCCAGCACAAGGCACCAAAGACTGGGGGAGCCCAGAGGCTTCAAAATGAACACAATCACATCCTTCTCTATTTAAAACCTGACTGTGTTTGCTGGCTGTAGGCAATACGACCAAGTTTTGTGCTGCTACCACAGGGCCTCACACTATTGTAGCTGCATACAAGCAGCTTCCCCACCGATGCAGGTCATACAAACCTTGCTGTTCTATAGACATACAACCACCCATCCACTGAACAGCATCACACGCTGGCCAGCCCCGGGCAACCCAAAAGCCAAGAAACACCTGGGAACAGCTGTATTTAAACCAAACCTCTTTAATAATTTCAACTCCAAAGACACAAATGAGTGCTCGACTGCAGCAGGAATAACAAAGGAAAGACAGGAACTATTCCAAAGCTACTGTGCTTTGCAAAACAAGATATGCTGATACATATAAGGCTAATGTTAGTCACCAGCTGGTTTGGTACAAAGAGTTCAGTATATGAAAATGGTCAATAAACATTGCTCAATGGAGCTGTTTTCAGTCAACTGCTGTTCATCTGTCACAGTGTCATCAGCCATCTGCAATGATATATTGAACTCGAGGAAAACCCCACATTAGCATAGTGTCAATATTAGGAAGTTTGGTCATGTTAACACGGGGTATTCCATGTCCATTACAGGTGGACAGATGTTATTTGCTAAGACAGTAAACATCATCAGTGCATTCAGCTGAGTTCAACAGTCAACATCAAACAATGTCAACTTAGAAGATCAAGAGAAAAATCAGATCCTGTTCTGTCTAAGGAGGAACTTGCTGCTTATGCTGCTTGAAACTCCCTCTTCCAAAATCTAGGGAGCAACAGCGTACACACCACAGTGACCGACCAAGGCTTCAATTTAGACAGCATGTCAGTACATGATGTTCTATGAGCCCAAAGACGTGGTAAATGCCCCATCCCTTGCAGTGTTCAAGGCCAGGCTGGACAGAGCCTTGGGTGCCATGGTTTAGTGTGAGGTATCCCTGCCCATGGCAGGGGGGTTGGAACTGGATGGTCTTAGGTCCTTTCCAACCCAAACCGTTCTATGATTCTATGTGTGAAAGCCTATTTCTATTCCACATGTTTTGGAGAAACAGAGCGTTCCACAGCATTAGGGAAAGAAGGATGTATGAGACTGTGCTTACAGCCATTCCTGTGGACAGATGATCAAGAGACCTTTTATCTTTGCATTTTAATGTCTCAACAATCTGCTCTAACCATCAAGCAGATACAACTCCTGTGAAGTATGCGCAAAAACCACTTGCAGGCACTGGTTTAGGGTCTTGCATTAGCTGGATTCTGAGCTTGGTTCTTCTTAAATCTGCAATTCCATGCCTCATCAAATCTAAACACGTTCAACAAGTAAAAAGGGAGAGTTCTGAAGTAAAGGGAGAGGTTCAGGCATCAACCCTGCCCTCAGAATGGTACATACGAATCCCCATGTCCCCAGTCCTGTGTGGAGTTCCAGTCATGGGGCTCTGCATGAAGTGCTTGCTTGGTTGCTGCGCTCTCACACTGCCCATCACTGAACTGAATAAAGAGCTGTGGGGCTAAATCCCTCAGCCAGCTTTCAAACCTGAAAGGATGCAACAGCATCAGGGATGTGGGGTGGGGTAGTGAGGCTCAAGGCTGAGCCAAGCAGAGGCAGCCACATATGGCTCTGGAAAGTGACTAACAGGAGTGCTGTGACTTCAATGGGAGAACTTTAACCAAACCCAAACTGACCCCCACCTATCAAGGACCTTCCCTTAGGGACCCCAATAGAAAACACAGCCTCATTGCTCAAAAAGAGACCTGTGACAGAGAGATCAGGCACTTGGCAGCTATGAGCGAGAAGCTGAACAAAGAAACCCAAACCCAGTCGTAACAGGCAGTATATTCTCTGTAGTTATGTTATGGACACCCAAAACTGGCAGAGGACATTCCAGATGGGTACGAAATGCATTTATGTATGAAACAATCCATCCTCATAAAACAGCAGCTAAGTAACCTGCAATGAACCCAATGTCATAGAGAGCACATCACTTCTAGGGTAAAGAGTGCATGAAAAGTTAAATGTATAAATCACAAATCATTCAGGCTTGTTACACAAGTGTCTAAAGTGCAGGAACCAGGAGGGTGGTTGACTTAATACATGGGGTTCTGTGCTTAATCTCTTTGTTATTCTCTTCCCATGTAAGATTTCTTAATCTCCTGGCTTTTCACTTGTTCTGGGTAATAAGGACTCCATCACTTATTCCCCTCCATAATAAATCACACAGTTCAACAGCACTTGGCAGTTAAAGCCTCCCACCACCTGCTTACAAAGCGCAGATGGGGTTTCTTTAAAGCAAACCTTTTACCTGACTATGCTAATTTAAATTATGGGGTGCACATTCCATATGCAAAATGGTGCGTTCTGGATCAGGAGGTGTGCTGAAGAACACAGCAGTGCTGCTTCGTTACAGCTCATCTTCCACTAGAGAAGTGGTGGACTGAATTGATGTAGCACCGGCTATCAAATGCCAAAAACACAACCACAAACAGCTTTAAAAGCAGCAGTAATACTGGAATACTTGAAGGCAGATGTAACAAGGTAGTTGTGACTGTGAGGAGCACTAGTGGTATAGGGAGACCTTGTAACAGTTTTCCAATACCTAAAGGGGCTGCAGGAAAGCTGGAGAGGGGCTTGGGACAAGGGATGTAGGGACAGGCCAAGGGGAATGGCTTTAACCTGCCCGAGGGGAGACTGAGCTGAGCTCTTAGGCAGAAGCTCTTCCCTGTGAGGGTGCTGAGGCGCTGGCACAGGGTGCCCAGAGAAGCTGTGGCTGCCCCATCCCTGGCAGTGTTCAAGGCCAGGTTGGACACCGGGGCTTGGAGCAAGCTGCTCTAGTGGAAGGGGTCCCTGCCCGTGGCAGGGGTTGGGACTGGATGAGCTTTAAGGTCCCTTCCAACCCAAACCAGTCTGGGATATCTGGGAGGATTTTCTGTTGCCGAGAGTCTCACAGGGAAGAGCTGGCTGAAGAACTCATCCAGTTGTTTAAAACCAGGTGTTGAAAGCAAATGTACAACAGCCAAAAGAATCGGCTACCTTTTAAATCATACAATTTTGCTTCAGCAAAACAAGACAGGCCCAGGAATAAGCACAGCACAATATTAGATTAAAAGAGAATTATAAACTAATTATAAACCAGTACTTTTTATCACGTGCCTCCCAAAATCATGTAAACCAAGTGATACTGTTTGCATCTTAGCTTTAAATGTAACTTAACTGCCCAGGTTTCACTTCACACATCTGAATTAAAGTCCTCCTACTCATGTGTCTTTCTAAAGCTGCCAGACTTCTCCACACAGATGAACCACAGGCTGAGCACAACCTAAGAGTGGCAGACACTGAACAAGCTGATTATGGAGAGTGCACAGTCAGCCACAGCTCAGTATAATACTGTTGCATGGTCTAAGTGAGGCTGCTCTAACGTCAGCACGTTCAGGCAGATAGAATTAAGGGCACAGGTATAATACAACACATGACAGAGGTAGATTGGCAAGTGATCGACTGCATGTCCCAATTCTCACTCTGGGGTGCTCTTCTCGACCCTAGTAGCTAGCACATCTTCCCTGTGCTAGAGGGAAAAGCATTACAGTGAAGTCCAGAGGTGAAAATGAAGTCCAGAGATAACTAATACCGCAAGCCAGCAACGCTGCATCCAAACACAGATGAGATGCCTCCTGATGGCACATTTCTGTTTATCATGTCTTATCTTCTGTTATGGACAGTGCGTGTCTGGAGCTGTATCCAGAAAAATCTAGATTCCCAGCATAAGGTATGGTGTTGATCTGTACTGGGAGAGTAATTTTGAGGTTTTCCTCTTATTTCCAAGGAAGAATTATTCAACTCATGGTCTGCAGAACTGCTTGCTGCTGATCTGTGCCAAACTGATGGTCGTAAAGTGGCAGATGTCCTGGTTCTTCATAGATGTTAAAGAATAAAAGAATTCATTGTTATCAAGTCTGTCCGACACATCCCATAGGACTGATAGTAAACAACACACGCTACTTCCCTAATTCCCCTTTAAGTAGCTGTTGTCTGAATCCTACTCGAAAAACGGGATCAAAGATACAAGATGTAGTGCCAGAAAAGTTTGGGATGTGCTGATCCAAGGTTTGTAGGGAAAGAAACCAGCAAGTCATACAAGTGATATAAATATAAAGCAATTTAACAGACATTTAACACATCACAGGAATAAAGATGTCTTTCCAGGCACAAGAAAAGGCAGTCTAAATCGCAGTGACACCCAGTTAAAACGAGCTTCAGTATCACTCCCAAGATCAGTAAGGCAGTCAAACCAAAGCACCCATCACTTTAGGTTATTTATAGGATAGAGAATAACACATAGAAATTACATTCTTCAGGGTCTAACATAACCTTTAACAAAGGCTGCTGGAAGGGTGGTAGAGGTGTGCATGGTTTTGGTTGTTTGGAATGAAGAAAGAAGCCAATCTACATAATAATTCCTTTTAAAGATAAAAGCATCAGTGACAATACTTGAATGAAAAGCTAACAGCAGCATGAAATTCAAACAAGAGCTTTTCTACCTTTGTTTCTTAAACCCTGACAATTCAGTTCAAGAGGATCTGGGGAAAAAATACACTTTCTAGTTGCAAATGTGTAGGAAAATCAATAAGCTTCTTTAATATAAACCATTATAGAGATGCTTTATCAATAATAAAGTGGCTTTTCAGCATGATCTGGTTCCTCATTTACAGGGAAACCAACTAGAGCCCCCACATCCTCCAGTAACAAAACTAAGGCCACTAAAATAAAGGGTTTGTTCATATTCTTAAGGATAATCTCATCCTTGGTAGACGTCACAACTGACTGTTGATGTGTCTTGCTGCCATGTCCCTGTTATGGGACTCTTTCCCTAACTTAGGAAAACATGTAAACTAAATATAGACTAAATAAGACAATCAGATGCACTGTGCAGAAGCATGCTTGAGAGCCTGAAGAGGAATAGGCAGGCACTTCTTTTTAAGCTACATTTTTAGAACAGTTCTCAAATCTCTTTACAAAATATATAAATAAAGACACTTGATCCAAGGCAGCATTTTCCTTCCTCTGTGCTCTAATTCCGACCTCTTTCTGTCTGAAGATCACACACAGATGCTGACCTTGGCTATGGAACTGGAACCTACAGACAACAAATCTGTTCTAACATTATCCTTCAGGAGTCTTTGTAGTGCTTTCTAGGTTGAAATGTGCTGCTCTCAGCACGTGCTTAAAGCTCACTGAAGTCACTCAAGGTTATGTATCTTTTTCTAGACCCGAGTTTGGGTCTGCTTGATCCCAAGAGTCCAGGGTCAGTCACGTAAGAAAAGCAGTGGTCTTGTTTGGAGATTCACATCAGTGGCAGCGCTACTGATGGACACAGAAGATGCAGCTGAGCTGCAAACAGGAGAAAAAAGACATTAAAGGAGGAAACATTAATGGAGGAGACAATTTGAATCAGCACTGATTGTACAACAGCCACGACTTTGTGGTCTGGGAGACAGTTGTAGCTATAATCCCACGCTTTGCTGCTTTGGGCATGTTTTAAATCAATACTGAGTGGGGTTTCTGATGAGTCTGAGCATTTCCCTTTTATTTCTTCATGGCAAGAAGGATAAATCCCTCAGAGCATCAAAAGCAGACAGCAACAGCATAGCATGGCAGCTAACAGACCCAGAGATAGACTCTGTGGGATAGCTGTCCCAAGCTCTGAAGTCAAACCCACAGCTTCCAATATGAGGCATAATATTTGGAAGAACTGTGTTAGTTCAATGTTTTCTTTATGCTTTCTTACTAATTTTCATCATCTGGGTAGATAAAAGGGCACAAACCAGAGTCTGTCCCCTCCATTAATCCCCCAAAACTTGGTCTCCAAAAGGTGGTCAACTTTCCACAGAGTAACCATGTGATGGACAGATGCAGAGGAAGCAAAGTGCTGCCAATTTCATATATCCACCTTGTTCTTTACTCTTTCTTTCAATACGTCTGGGTAAGAAGATGCTTCTGAAAATCAGACCAGTATTTAAGACTCGTCAAATAAGGGGAAGAGATGAATTCAAAGCACACATTGAAGGTGTTTGTCAATCTGTGGTACGAATGGGACATGGGGAGTAAAAAGTAATGGTAGAAAAGGTATGGAAGTAATACTTATAACAAAAGTGTTTCTTGTGTTAATACAGTCACCCTGCAGTCTCCTGGTGGATCACTGGTCAAACAAATGAGGAACTCAGTTTCCACACACAAGCAAGAACCCTTACATTGCTTCACCATCTTAAGCATCTTCTGCTGGTCACTTTGGAACATCTTCCATGATGTATTCAGTTGGACTAAAGAGAAAATGGAAGCTTGGTACAAAAGGAACTAAATGGCACAGGTATCCCAACCGCTTTGCTTCAAATATAAATGGCAAAGGAGGCTGTGGAAAAGCAGGATAAAATAAAGCTCTAAATCAATCATTATATACTTCATTAGTTGTATAAAAGTGCAAGATTAAAGTAGTTCAGGTTAAGCATTCAGTTCACTATAGGCCACACAACTGCTCAGCTTGGCCATCAATGGCCTGCCTTTGTCATTCAGTTACTAATATTAGTTTCAACCACAGAAAGAACAACTGAATGAAAAACATCTGCAATTCCACTTCAAAAATGGTTAGTTTTCTGTGACCAGCACGAAATATTAGCTCAGTATCATCAGCTATACAATATATACATAAAAATATTTGTGTCTTAATCTTTGTTTTAACAACTTAGAATAAAGCTGTACTAAACATTATTTCCCTAGTGTGCCAACTCTTTGCTCTGCGCTGGCCTGGGAACACAGAGAAGTCCTTTTGTAGCAATGGTGCTTGAACTGATCCATAAGTTTGACACTTCAGCCATAGGAACTGTTGAATCTCTTTATTCAGCCAGGCTAGGTGATGGCAGGTGACTGCTTGGGTCTCAGTCAAAGCTTCTTGGGTGGTTCCACCAGAAGAATAGGCCAGATTCCAAAGACAAACTGTTAAAAGAAAAAGAGGAAGAAAGGGAAAGATTTCCTGGAATATCATGTCTCTTGGAACAGAAACCAAACACTATTAACCATCATTTCAACTGCATTACTTGGGATGTAGAGCAGACATCAAACAATAAGCATGCCCCAGTGAAAATTCAAAGCATAAGGTATCCAAATGGTGGAGTGGCTTTAATGGACACAAAATAGTGCTTGCTTACCTTCACCTTTGGCCTGTGTTTCAGGAAAAGTGTCCTTGTGTATAAACTGAGGAAAAGGAGAAAAGTGTGCTTAAAATTTCATGTATAAGACAGTCGATACAATAATAATGATGTACTAATCCCAGTCTTATTTTCCAGCTAGAAAAGTGTTGCTTCTGCGATTGCAAGGGTACCCACTCTGCCTAGATATAGACAAAATAGGAGACACTGGCTACAGTAAATCCCTCTGTGCTAGACTATGGTTAGCAAACTAATCTACCCTGTGGCCTATGTGGGGGAGAGAGAAACCCAGGGAAGTAAATTCTTTCTCCACTAGGGAACAGACTAAACAGGGACTAGAGCCTGTCATTTTGGAAGGATGAAATTAAATCAGTGTACCACAAAATACAGCAGATGTTAAGGAGGGGGGAGCAGCACAGCTTGATTCTGTGTCACAGCTCTGTTCTCATACATCCTGTCCCCTCAGGAGATCATTTCCTATGCATGACCTCACTTTTTAAAGTGGCCATTGGTGATGACCAATTGGTCACTCACCCTGAAGAAGAAAAGGCTCCAGGGAGACCTTAGAGCAGCTCCAGTGCCTAAAGGGGCAGCAGGAAAGCTGGAGAGGGGCTTGGGACAAGGGCCTGTAGGGACAGGCCAAGGGGAATGGCTTGAACCTGCCAGAGGGGAGACTGAGATGAGCTCTTAGGCAGAAGCTCTTCCCTGTGAGGGTGCTGAGGCGCTGGCACAGGGTGCCCAGAGAAGCTGTGGCTGCCCCATCCCTGGCAGTGTTCAAGGCCAGGTTGGGTTGGACCTTCTAGGCTGAGAAAGTTGGGGCTGTTCAGCCTGGAGAAGAGAAGCTGCATGGAGACCTCAGAGCAGCCTTCCAGTATCTGAAGGGGGCTACAAGGGTGCTGGTGAGGGACTCTTCATTAGGGACTGTAGTGATAGGACAAGGGGTAATGGGTTCAAACTGAAACAGAGGAAGTTTAGATTGGATATAAGGAAGAAGTTCTTTCCTGTTAGGGTGCTGAGGCACTGGAATGGGTTGCCCAAGGAAGCTGTGAATGCTCCATTCCTGGCAGTGTTCAAGACCAGATTGGAGGAAGCCTTGAGTGAGATGGTTTAGCTTGAAGTGTCCCTGCCCATGGCAGGGGGGTTGGAACTGGATGATGTTAAGGTCCTTTCCAACCCAGACCATTCTAAGATTCTATGACACAGGGGCTTGGAGCAAGCTGCTCTAGTGGAAGGTGTCCCTGCCTGTGGCAGGGGCTGGAACTGGATGAGCTTTAAGGTCCTTCCAGCCCAAACCACTGTGATATTATGATACTTCAGAAAATTTAATTACATATCTGTTTTTCTACCTCTAACACAGTATTCTCCTTCTTTATCAGAGGTTAAAATAGCTAGCAAAGAGAAAATGCACAGAAAATAAGCACCATTCCCATAGCTGCTCTAACAGCTTTTTTGTATATACATATGTATATATGCACACATGTACACATGCGTCTATAAATATCTACACGCATATATATTCATACATATGTTTGTGTGTGTATATATATAAAATATGTCAGAGTATGTGGAAAACAGCTGCTCCATTTGGCTGCCAGGCTGTCTGCTGCCATAAACAGCTTGAGATAAGCTTTTGAAGAAAATTCATTAGCGAAAGCAAGCTGATGCAGAGTTTGGATAGCACGGGCAAGGTTTGTTCACCATGCTGCACAGAGAAGATAATCAGTGTTTACATCCTCTGGCCCTTGGGGAACATGCAGAAGCCTGATTTCTCTGTCTTACCCCAATGAAAGACACACTCTCCCTGCAGTGGCTTCCCAAGTATTTTCTCAGCCACACAGTGGCATCACAGCAGGGACACCTTCCACTAGAGCAGCTTTCTCCAAGCCCCTGTGTCCAACCTGGCCGGGAATGGGGCAGCCACAGCACCTTCACAGGGAGGAGCTTCTGCCTAAGAGCTCATCTCAGTCTCCCCTCTGGCAGGTTAAAGCCATTCCCCTTGGCCTGGCCCTACAGGCCCTTGTGTCCAAAGCGCCTCTCCAGCTTTCCTGGGGCCCCTTTAGGCACTGGAGCTGCTCTAAGGTCTCCCCTTCAGGAGCCTTCTCTTCTTCAGGCTGACTCAGCCCAGCTCTCTCAGCCTGGCTCCAGAGAAGAGCTGCTTCAGCCCTCATACATAGATAAAATATATCCATTACAATGTACAGACATATACAATACTATATGAAATGTATCTGTTCTGAAGTACATAGAATATATCTGTTAAACAAATACTCTCTTAGTTATGGTTAAGTGATAAAATGCTATTTCACGATATAATGAGCAAACTACAGAAATCCTTCAGATTCCAGCTTAAATTCTACTTTTGCTCCTGGTTCCACTAGATGGTGGTAGAGAGCAAAAAGACAAAGATGTGGCTGCAGACTTGCTTACACTCTTTTAAGTCTCCTTCTAAAACTAATACCTTGCCCTTCTGGGAACAGCTCTGCTCCAACCAGTTCAACTGTCACTCTCCTGCTCTGTAGCATGATGACTGGGTAGGTTTCAGAAGCAACAATGCCTATCAAAAAGGTTAGTTATGCCTCTAAAATTAAACATGTTGAAGTACTTCAGGATTGCAGCTCGAGAACAGACAGGTATTAAGAGCTGATGTTTTCAAATGAATATACTGTCAAATATTTTCCCAGTTTAATTGCTATGGGGTTCCCATTTCTGAATTACATATTCCTGAGGAACCATGGCTATTTAAAGATTACAGTGTGAAGAGTTTTTAGACCAGTTGTAAAGAGGAAACTCCCACCAAGTCTATTAAGTCATTTCCCTACTCTTCTGAATGACACATTTGGAAGTAAATCTGAATGTGGGAAAACTCCTAAGTAGGAGCTTCCAGCTTAGGAAGTATTTCTTACCTTAGCAGGATATGAAGGTAAGAGCCCAGGCCTGTGAGAATATGCCACCATGCATGAAACTGCGTCACAGCTCCCACAACAGGAGGCATCTTCTCTCGTAATGCTCTGTAAGAAAGAAACACCATGCAAGGGTGGGTTATCTCCCAAGATAAGCAATCTCAAATCACAGTGCTTGATTCCTAAATTACATAATACATGTCTCACAAGTGAGGCTTTCAGGGGGTGAGGAATAGCAGTTATATCTTATTCTTTCAACACAGAAAGATACTAGCAAACTGGCTTCCTTACACATTTAAAGAAAGCACACGCTTCTTCATACAATGAGTGATCAGTTACTTCTGGACCCAAATATGAGGGAACCTATTTATGGCATCCCACATTCCCAAATGAGTTCTACCATTCTCTTCCCCAAAACCCTATGAACTGCTGTCCATAGGACGAAATTCTGTGTTCAAGTCTGAGAGAGGAAATGGGATCCATAAGACATCACATCTGGCAATCACACCACCTATATTCTCTAGCTCCATGGAAGCTTAGCTTGTCTTTCTCCTGCTTCCATGGAAGCTTAGCTTGCCTTTCTGCTGCCTCCATGGAAGCTCAGCTTGCCTTTCTGCTGCTTCCACCAAGACAAAGCCAATAAGGAAGGAGACTTCAGTACAAGCAATAGGTTTCAATGAGTGCCTAGACCCTTCTCCTGGAGGCAAGGCAAGTACCTGCACAAGGTGTGCACAGGTTGAGGATCTCTCACATCAGGTTGCTAAGTTGCAGGAAACAATTAAAAGGCTGCACAGTATTAGAGGAGCTGAGATGGAGATGGTGGTTTCAGATCCATGCTCCTGCAGCAGACACTGCAGAGACTGAGGCACCCTGGACTCTGGTGACCCACAAAAGCAGGACTCTGAGTCTCCACCCTTCACCATCACAACAAAAACAAGATATGAAGCTTTAATACCTGTAGACACCTATGAGCAAGGTCTGCAAACAGGAACTGTGCCAGGAGCACACAGTGGGTACCACAGGAAGAAACAAGTGCTTGTAGTGGGTTACTCTGCTAAGGGACACTGAGACGCCCATCTGCTGGCCTGACAGGGAGTCATGGGTGATATTCTGCCTCTCAGGAGCTATGGTCCAAGATGTTGCAGAGAGGGTGTCACAATTTACCAAGAGCACAGACTACTATCCACTGCTGCTCTTTCATGTGGGCATGAATGACAGTGCAAGTTGGAACATGAGCAGAATCATGGAATCAATTAGGTTGGAAAAGTCCTTTAATGAAGTCCAACCATTACCACCACTAAACCAAGTCACTGAGGGCCTCACCTACCCAGTTCCTGAACACTTCCAGGGACAGTGATTCCTTGGGGCAGATGTTAAGGAAGGAAAACCTGCAGCTTCTGCAACATATATTTACTGCTTGATGTTGTAGTGTTCAATCCCCCTGCCTAAATGCTAATCCCTGGCTACTGCTCAGTCACAAATATGAACACAGAGCTTGGGTTTGGTCAGGCTGGGAATGGAACAATGAACAGACAGATTGTGACTCCAGCACAACCTTCAAGCCCTTGGATAGCAGGAGATCTCAAAGCTCAATTCAAAAGTGCATGGATCTAATGAGGGAAGCTGAGCGCTATAGATGTCTTCTTGTTGGTTTGGGTTGTTTTTCTTTAACAAGCTCTAGATTTGGTGAAATATGGATAAACAAACTCTGAACATTAACTGATAAGCAGTTTTGAACATTAAAAGCAAAAAGAGCAGGTAGGTGGATGAGTCACGAGTTAGATCTTTAGAGAATAAAGAATTACAAGGAACTGGAGTATATTTTCTCCAAAGGCTTGAGTTATAATAGCACCTGCAGAAATCCAAGGCTCTGCAGACATCTGATTAAAGCCAGTACACAAGCATATTTATTCCTTTCCCAGCACAAAACAAGTATTACAGGAAACATACTAACTTTTGTTTTCCCCTTTAGAAAAGGAGGATGGAAATAAGTGCTTCAGCAGCTGCTGTAATCTTTGAGCCTAGGAACAAGTTCAAAAGCCCCACGGATCTGCGGGCTTGGTGAATTGGGGGTTATGAGCTCAGCAGTGATGTGATGCAGCTGCAAAAGTGAACCCTGATGCCAATATCTCAAAGTCAGTGTGTAGCCATCCACTTGAGTTGGCAAGTAACTTTTCTATCCCATCGGGATCAAGCGTTTCTAGGGATGATGGATTCAAAGTAAAACAGGGGAAGCTCAAGTTAGATATAAGGAAGAAGTTCTTTACTGTGAGGATGCAGAGGCACTGGCACAGGGTGCCCAGGGAAGCTGTGGCTGCCCCATCCCTGGCAGTGTTCAAGGCCAGGTCAGACACAGGGGCTTGGAACAAGCTGCTCTAGTGGAAGGTGTCCCTGCCCACGGCAGGAGGTTGGAACTGGATGAGCTTTAAGGCTCCTTCCAACCCAAACTACTGTACGGGTCTATGAGGCACCATGTTTTATATCCAGCACACCTATAACCTTTAAAAGAAGAGTTTCAAGGAAACTTTGTTGGAGCACTATTTCAATTGGCCTAGCCTACCACAGGGACTACAAAGCCAGAATGGACAAATAGAGAACACTAGATCACTTTACCTCACACTATGACCTGACCCTGACAAAGCAACCTACTAGGACAGTTCTGTCCACCATGGATTCAGCAGCATAACATCGTATCAGAGAGTCAAGGATGGATTTTCTGGACACTGGCATCAACCCTTCCTAGAATCACAGAATGGTGATTTAGCAAGCCACAGACCCTCAAAATTACTTCAGTGACATTACTTTCTCTCTATTTAAAGTGAAGTCAGAGGTAAGGCACTGGAACAGGCTACCAGAAGAAGTGGTAATGCTCCATCCCTGGCAGTGTTCAAGGTGAGATTGGACAGAGCCTTGGGTGAGGTGTCCCTACCCATGGCAGGGGGTTGGAACTGGATGATTTTCAGGTCCTTTCTAACCCAAACCATTCCTTGATTCTATGAATTTAAAAGTTGATAAACCCACTGCTGAGTGGGTCATAAGCAAACTGGATTAAAACCCTTGTGAATGTTTTGTAGGCAGTGTACAATACATACCTTGAGATGGACTTGAATATACACCATAGAAGAAAGAAAACTTTCTGGTAGAAGACTATTAAGAGTTATGCAGACAAAGTGAAAGGACTCACCTCAATTTATCACAGAAAATGTTGTCCACATTCCAGAGAAAAAATCCCATTAAAAATACAGTTAAAGATGTATAGCCTAGACCTCTAAGCCATGGGTATACCCTAGAGGGAGAGAAATGATGTAAAGTTTAGTCCCAGATGCTTTAAAGGCAACACGACATACATAACTCCTATTACATACAAATAAGCTGGTTTGCTTCCCAAAAGGAAAAATATCAACTTCAAATCTCATCTATCAAAGTATTATATTTAACCACCTCCCCCCTTCTCCTGACTTCCCATTCTCCAAGACTGGCCTTTTATATGTTGTACTTCTGTATTTCTAACTGTTCCACTAAATCCTGCCATCTCCTAATGCACCAAATGGCAAAACCGAAGCTGGAAAAACACATGAATTCTTCAGTCCCATCTGTAATCTTTCAGTTAAAAAACAGCCATGTTACAAATCAGTCCTCTCCCCAAAGAAGAGGCTCTTTTCCAATCCATGATATCCCTCTACAAGGGGACTTGGTTAAATAAGGTCTTTCAAAGTGACTGTAGTCTTTGGTGATTGCAGACCACCACAGAATCATAGAATAGTTAGGGTTGGAAAGGACCTTAACATCATCCAGTTCCAACTCCAACTAACCGAATGAATGGTTTAGAAAACAGTATTTTCATGTTATATTTTACTGCTGAGTGTTATTTGGGATGGAAAAAATATCAGTTTCACTTGGGGGGGGGGTATCTTTAGGATACACTAAACACACTGAAGAATCATATGGAAGAAAGTGCATCATTAATAAATGTACCCCCACTATCTGCATTCAGGTTGGAGCATGGAATTAAAACTTCCTACATGGATGTTGGTACCATTTTCTCCTTTCCTGGTAACAAGTCCAAAATCAAACCCAATTGCCACCCTAAAGTCTCCAATGAACTGCAATACTGTTCAAGTTATCTTTAAGCATAATGAATGTACAGTTTAGATCCTGGATTAAAACACATTCCCCAGCTGTTTTTCCAGTGCCGGGTTACACAGAGCACGCATTTCAGAGCTGTGAGCAGAGGCATCCAACATGTGCAAAAGAAGACAGGTAGAGCTTCTTCCACAGGGCAAACTAATCACGTACAAGTTGTGCTTGTTCACAACAAGTGCATTGCCAATATAAACCAGCAAAACTGTTCGGTCTAATAGATGCATGGAGAGCATGCAGTACATGGCAGAGACCACACTGTAATACTCCCAACTCAGTGCTCTAGAGACAGAAGCAAGCCCAGGACATGAAAGAGCATCAAATGGTACGTTGTACATGCTGGTAATTAGGTAATTACAGCTAGAATTGTTCAGGGAATAAATGGTGGTGTTTTGTGAAGGGATGAGAGGGAGACTGGCATCACTTACTAATGGGGAACATGCTTTGCGAACAGAGAATGATGTTTGCCAAGTTGTAATTTTGGGAAGGAAGCAGCCCCACAAATGAGATGAGAAGTATAAAGGAAACAGGGCAAGAACAGCAACAAATGATGGGGATAGGAGGATGCAGCAGCCTGGAAGGAATAATGTACTGCTCTTTGAGATTTCATCAGCGACTGCAGTGATAGGACAAGGAATGGGTTCAAACTTAAACAGGGGAGGTTTAAGCTAAATATAAGGAACGAATTCTTCCCTGTGATGGTGCTGAGGTGCTGAACAAGCTGCCCAGAAAAGCTGTGGCTGCCCCATCCCTGGCAGTGTTCAAGGCCAGGTTGGACACAGGGGCTTGGAGCAAGCTGCTCTAGTGGAAGGGGTCCCTGCCTGTGGCAGGGGTTGGAACTGGATGAGCTTTAAGGGCCCCTCCAAAACAAACCAGTCTGGGATTCTATGATTTTCACTCTAAGCTCAGAGCGACTTCAAGTCCCATGCTAAGACATGTGACTGATAAGAAGTTAATGTATGTTAAAGAAATAAGAAACATAATAAGCTGAAATCAAGGCTAATACATAAGTTGAGACAGGCTGGGATAAGTGCTAGCACTATCATTGGAAAGACAGGAGTATGTTTTAGCAATGCAGAGGAACTAAATCCAGAAGTGCACATGGGGATGACTTTTACAGGAAAGAAAGGTGACCTTCAGCTTGGCACAGCTTCTCTAGCAGAAGTAAGTTAATATTAATCATAGAATCATATAATACTTCAGGATGGAAGGGACCTTAAAGCTCATCCAGCTCCAACCCCTTGCATGGGCAGGGACACCTTCCACTGGAGCAGCTTGCTCCAAGTCCCTGTGTCCAACCTGGCCTTGAGCACTGTCAGGGATGGGGCAGCCACAGCTTCTCTGGGCACCCTGTGCCAGCACCTCAGCACCCTCACGGGGAAGAGCTTCTGCCTAAGAGCTCATCTCAATCTCCCCTTTCTGGCAGGTTAAAGCCATTCCCCTTTGTCCTGTCTCTACAGGCCCCTATAAAAATGCAAGGAGATGGTCCACCCCCTTACAACCAAGCAGACCATGGGCATTATGTACCTAGTTAAAGAAATTTTGCCACTGGCAATTTCTCAAGCCCACCAAAAGAAAGATGCAAATACTCAGTTATACCTCATACCACTGAACGAAACATTTACTTACCATAATACTATATAAACAGATCGTAGAACTATAATGGAAACTAGCGTTCCATACATGATCTGGAAATAAAAAGAGAGATAAAACTCAGTACTTGGATTCAAGAGACTTTATAAAACACCACAGGAATAGAACATTTTTGAAGCCCCTGTTGATTTTTATGTCTTAGTCTCAGGAAAACTCTTATCACCTCCACCTACAGCTCCAGAAGGTCTTCCATGAAAGTGTCACATAAAAGCAGGATTGCAAACCATGTCCTTTATGTAATTACAAGAAAAGTCAGCTGTGTAAAACTGTTGTTTTTTGCATTAGAAAGCAAGCACTAGATGGCACTCGGTTAGCACCTGAAAGCAAACTGGTAACTCGCTCCCATCACCTCTTCTGTATCAGTGTGGTTGCATAAGCATCAGCTAAACCCGCGTCTGAAAGCTGTACTTCCTTCACTGGTATTTGATTAATGCATTTTCCTGCAAGCAAACACCTGAACAGACTATGCAGCGTGCCCACACTGAGCGCCAGCACAAAAGAAACTTTCCAGGAAGCCTTTAGAACTATTACAGAATGTTGGGATTCAATCTAAATAGCGGGAAGGCTGCACGCTCTGAAAAGATCCACGAGCAAGATCCGGCTCGCTGCAGGCTTGATGAATATGAATGTAATCACCTCATTTATACAAAAAAAATAAATCAAAGTTACCATTTATTTTCTGCCTCGTGATCTTTAGATCACTCTCCCTGTTGTTATTCACAAGCTTAAGATCCCCATAGCACCACCTACAAGACGTACAGACTACAGAAAAGATGTGGCCCATCATGCCTGAAAAGTGATGCAGAAGCCACTGCAGCAGGGAGAGCTTTCAGACACTGGTGACATTAAATTACACTCCAGGCCTTTTACCCTGGACACTGTTTTCCCCCTGCCAAATCCAGCTTGTTCCAAGCAGTTGTGCCCTGCTCTTTGCCTCTCTCCAGTAGCCCACAAGCTGATCACTGTTCTTCGCTTCCTTGTTCCCCGACTTCCCTGTCTCACTTTGCTTTTAGTTAACTCCTACCAAATGCTGCTTTGTTTTATATGAAACATAAAAGTACTATTTGCTGCCTGTTTTTAAAAGCAACTAAACCTCAGAGTGGTGTTTACAAACCAGTGTCCTTACCTTGTTGTATTGACCTCTTGTACTTCCTCTTCCCTTAGACTACAGTGTCTTCAACCCAATGACTACCTTACTCTGCTGTAACCAGGGCATTCACCTATTACTACCCTGCAAGCACATGCGTGTCCACTCATCTAATATAAAATAGATAGCTGGAAAAATACAAAGTGAAACCTACTTTTCAAAAGCCCATAAAGGCAAATTTTCAACTTCCTTTTAGCTTTAAGGATGAGGTTCATAGCACACACTGTATTATCAGTCCATATATCCAGAACAAGACAGAAAACGGAGCCCTTGTGTTTGACAACAGGTAAAAATTAGCCCCAATACTGACTATGAAAAAGTCAGCACATTGAGAGTGAAATCATATCAGTTCAGTAACTAAACTACTACTGCTGTGTGTTCTGCTCTGTAGAGCTAAACAAAGCTCAACTATTTGAAAGGCAAATCGGTTCTGCCTTATACTTTAAACAAAACTGGTGGCTAATGCCAGTCCTCTTGCTGGGGTGCAGCACATAAATCAGGACAAACCCAAACAAAACCTGCAATGCACAGCCTGAGTACCAAGTGCTCATCAGTCCCAAGTAGGCAGGGGACTGCTCAGGTGGGCTAGGGTGTCATTCTTCATCATTATGCCTCAAAAGACCCTACCATATAACAAATACAGACTAAACTTAACAGTTCAATGCTATTTACTTCCTCAGGCTCATTTGAAACAGCCTATTTCATTTTCCTAATCAAAACCAGTCACTTATTCTAAGAGAGGGGTCACACAGAGGAAGAAACTCAATAGAAAGGCTCCTCCAGAACTCAAATCACAGTTTGATACCATTTCCTTGCTCATCTCCTCCTTCTTCCAGTTTCCATTGTTAAAATGCTCTCCTGCAGCAAAAAGAGAGGAAAAACCTACCCATGAAGAGAAATTTCTCTCCTGCTTATCAGGGGTCTGATCACCCTCAGGCTTTTATCCAATTTACTCTCAGGTTCTTTGTAAAAGGAGTTAGTGTCAAACTATGCCTAGAGAAACAGGACTTACAGGCCTGAAACACAGCCTAAAAGTGCTGTATTTCTGCAGTTATCAGAGCAATAGCTAAGAAAAGCTTTCTTTGTGATGCCTGTGGCTTGGTATCTCCTAGTGAGCTGCTTAATGGCCTGCAGAAGAAGACAGTCTTCATGGAGGGAGGAAGGGAACAACGTAAAAAAGAACCCTGGAGTGACTGAATTAAAACATGCCCACAGCTGACACTGCCATTTCTTGCCTTTTCCGCTCCCCCACACAAACAGGTTGTTAACAGTAAAACACAGTCGTGGTTAAAAGCCTGTGAAAGACTGGAACAACAAAGCATTCCGCTCCGCAGGCTCCAACCCTCCTCTTCATGCTGAAGGCAACGAGCACCCAGGTGGTGTTGCTGTGATAAGCAGAGGCTGGAGCTGCGCCTGTAAACCAAGAGCTACACAACTTAGTTTAGACTTCAGGGAACGGTGCTTCTTTTTTACTCCTTTACCACCCGTGGATTCACTATTTTCATCATGCCAGAAGTTTGTAAGGTATTCTCCATCCACCCCATTTAAGTATAAAATGAAGATTCTACCTTATTCAGGTTGACTCTGATTTTTCAATTCCTTTACCTCCCTTTGTTCTTCTTCTTTAACTAACACATCACTTAAGTGACAGATGAAAACCCAGAGTTTTGTGCTATTTTGTCTCACAGTGCCTTTAACCTGTAAGCCAAAAGAACACCCTTACACTACAACTGAAACAAAAGGAAACAGCAGAATCTCATCATCTTTTGTTATCACTAGACAGTTCCCTCTTTGCTGTTTAAGATGCAAATACGGCTGCTTGTGTTTCAGCTTTGAAGCCTGTATCTTTGCAACAGGGAAAAAACATTAATACACAATGGATTTACCTGCTAAAAGGGCCAAATATGAAGAACATCCTGGTAATTCACAAATGGGAAAGAAGCATTTCAGGACTCAGTGTCTGACAGCATTTTTGATGTGGAGGCAGTTAAACAAATCGCATAGATTCACTTCTTATACCAGCTGGAGGCAAGGCTGGTACTCCAGACTGGAGTGAGCATATAAAACTGGTTCTTCATCTACCCTTCTAGTACAGAAAGCTGCAATAAGCTGTTATTTCCACTTCTTTGCTTCCTCTGTTCCTGGCCTTCTGCCCATCTTTGGTTAATAAAGTCCATTTATCAGCCTTGAATATTAGTGTACACACTGGGAACCGCACCAGCTATCAAAATACAGTCAGCCTAAGGACTTGGAGGTGGAAATAGTATTTGCAAGTTATAACGAAGAAAACAGATTTCTACATGTTCTTAGACTTCTGAGAGAAGGAATGACAATCCCCATGATGACACTGAAATACTCAGCATAGCTGCAGCTGTTTAATACCACACATTGCTTTGACAGCTCCTGAATGAACTAATTCACATCCACTTTAGTTGGTCCTCCTTAGATGCACGTGTATGATGGCAAAGCAACACACTGCATCATACAGAGCAGCTCACCAGAGCTTCTGGGACAGTCTGCAGGGATAAACTGAGCTACTCTTCACTGCCTTGTAGAGCTGATCCTTTGGAGAGTCTGAACATCCTTCCACATTCCCTAAGCTATTGTGCAGATAGAAGCACCAGCCAAAATGAAAGCTGCACTGGAAGACACCCCCAAACAAGCTGTGTAACAGAATATCACTCAAACTGGTTTTATACATGGTCTTCAGCAGGACAATGCCTAAGCACAAAAACCTCTGTGGTGAAGACATGCCCTGAAAAGGTCACTTTTAACAGACTGCTTGGCAACCTGAACATGTAGTAAGAATGAACATGTCCCACTAAAAGGCAAAATACATTACACCACAAGCCTACAACTCACTGTTGTCTTAGCAGCAGGAGGGACTCTGGAGAGCTGCAGGACACCGAGTCCACACAGATTCCCCAAAATGGGGAGTCCTGTGAATCTGAACAAGTTGTGCCTTGACGTAACATATTCTTCATGCAGTTTCAGGCTGCTGTACCTATTCTGACATACACATTGCGTTGTGATTTGACTTCCTTCTTTGCATTTGGACATTTAAAACACCTAAGGAGAACAACTCTATTAATTTTTGTACTGAGGCAAATGAAATACCTTTTGCTCCCCTCAAGTCACATAAAACTGCTAAATCCAATACTTGTAGTTTACTTTCTAGCAGAAAATTCACTGGTCATATTATTATACTGTGATCAGCAAACCCAGAGACTGCCTTCCTCCCTCCTTTGGGGATCTGTGTGCAGTTTAGAACAAGAATAGCTGGTGTTTGCTCATCAGTGCACACTCTTCCATTCTGTCATCCTGGTCCTCAGGGTCTTCCAGTTATTTCTTCATCTCCTCCTTGGTACTCAGTGATGCCTTTGAACTTGGTATCATCACAAATATCATCAGTACCTGATTTGGTTTTTCCTGGTATGGGTTGTTAAATACAAACAGTCCCACTAGAAATCCCAAGACAGTCAGACTGAGCCTGCCTTTCATCATCACTGCCTTTCATGGCAGTGTTCAAGGCCAGGTTGGACAAAGCCTTGGGTGACATGGTTCAGTGTGAGGTGTCCCTGCCCATGGCAGGGGGGTTGGAACTGGATGATGTTAAGATCCTTTCCAACCCTAATTATTCTATGATTCTATCTCCTTTAGCCATCTTCCACTAGTCACTCCCTTCCCCTATTTGCAATTCTCATCCTGATCTACTTCTCCAGCTCACTGAAGTTTCTCATGGGACACCACTTCTAAAATGGCTACACAAAAGGCATCTTTTAAATCACATCTAATGTAGAAGAAACAACTATTTAATCTCATGTTCTAGTTACCTTTTAATTATCTCTTGGCTCAAGAACTGCTTCAAACTCTTGCAGCAGATGACTATGCAAATAAAACAGGCTTTTAGATCTGTTACATTATTCACATAGCCAAATGAATGAGGTTTTTGATCTCTGCAAGTGTAGAGCCAGCATACGGTATGCAGCCACTAAACAAATCAGGACGGAAACCAATGCTTTGCAAGTGACAGCTTTCTAGGCCATATCATGTTAGAAAGAAGGCTACTTGTAAGACTGGAGTCTAAAAGTTTAATTGCCAGGGTAATTTCTTCTTCTTCCAGGGCAATCTGATACTTAAGCGTTCACAAACTGTACAGATGAGGCCCTCAGTGACATGGTTCAGTGGTGGCCTTGGCAGTGCTGGGGTAAAAGTCGAACTTGATGATCTTAAAGGTCTTTTCCACCCCTGTTGATTCTACGATCTGTGTGTCTATGGATCATTCCACACAAGCAGCCATTCCTCCCCTACCCCTTTCCTTGTATCAGCACAAATACACATGCAGTAAACAGGGATGAGAAACTAATCTGATTTACAACTAATTCTGAGGAGAGTTTGAACCTGCTGAGTTCCCAAATCAAATTCCCCTCAGAAAGTAAATCTGTGTGCCAGATGGGAAGGAGGGAAGGGAGAGGCGTAGCTGCTTTCTTTGACAATGATGCTGGCTTAAATACAACTAGAGAACTGGGATGTAGGGTTGTTTAGCACCATGGAAATTAGGTAATAACAGTGCTCTAGCCTAGAGATTTTGACATAAACAAGACAATACATGCTTGTAAAGGCCACTGCTATCTTTCATTTAACTGATGAGGCGGTAAAAAATACCACATCAGTTGTCAGGCAGAGAAATGTTCTCTTTTTTTCCCCTTCTAATGATGTGTAGCCTCCAACAGACCAAATTATGCATCTCACCCCTCCTATGGTTAAAGCATTAAGGCACTTAAAGATCTGCAATACGTGGATGGAGGCAAAGAAGCTGGTGTGTGTTGCCACTGTGCCATGAATAACAAACCAAACTCCCCTTCATGCCTGCTGGCATTAAGCAATTTATGAGCCTAAATTGGGAAGGAAAGTAGAAAGTAATTCACTGAGAAATAAGGCTTGGAACCTGGCTGTTAAATATAACAGAATCCTTTTCCATTTTTATTGCTCTCCTTTCTGGGGGAAAAAAACACCCCACACTGAAACAACAAACAATATAAAGCTGTCCATGTAGTTACTCCCCTTTCTGCGAGGCTGACAAATGGTGATGATCACAGACAAGTACCTAAAGGAATCAACCTCTGCTTTCCAATACAGTTAGGGACCAAGACTGTGATTTAAACTATAACTGCACGAGCATATTTAACTTTACTTCAAGTCCATGAGATACAATCAGCTGGGAAATACTTAGTGAAATTACATTGATTCTCTTTTTTAATGCACTCTCAAATAAAGGATAAGTATGAAGAAAAGAACCTTGCTTAGCTGTGCAGAGAAATGTTTCCTCTGTATTTATGATGTATTTGGCAAAGAGTGTGAAAAAAAAACCATGAGTGCAGTACTTGAATGTCTGGAATGGGGCCACAACTGCATGTTCTCCATAAAAATCAATTTGGAAAGAGTTGTTGTAAAAAGTCCAGCACTTTTATGGGTCTAAATCTTTTCTACATTGATTCCTCATGTATAAATTATAACAGGGAATTCATATGCTGAAACTAAGAGAAACCAGATGCAAAAAAATAAAGGTCTGGAGCAGCAGTTTAAAGCTTCCCCTATTTCCCTCTTACCCCACAAGTCAGAAGGCCAGACTGGACAGGGCTTGGAGCAACCTGGTCTAGTGGAAGGCATCCCTGCCCATGGCAGGGGGCTGGAACTGGATAATCTTAAGGTCCTTTCCAACCCAAACCATTCCATGATCTATCACCCCTGAATCTACGATGTGGGACAATAGCTATGCCAATGCATCAATGCAGTGAAGCTGTGATGTATTTATTGCCATAAACACAGACTGAGTAGATAACTGATTAAAGAAATGAAAGTCCAGTATCAGCAATAAACTCTGCCACTGTACTTAACAAAATTAAGTCACTTCATTCAAAACCAGTTATAACCAGCTTAGTAAAAGCATCAGTGATTGCTGCTTTCACCCCAGCCTCTATCTTCCTGTTGGAAATATAAGTATAGGGAAAGAACAGAAAGGATTTAATTAACATTAGCAAAAAACCCTGTGAGTTTCTCTTTTTATCTATAGGTACAGTAACAATTCATGTCTCTAGAAGAGATTTTTTTGGAGCAGCTTGGAATTTATTATCAGAGGATTCATTTTATTCCTCCATGCTTCACTAATCCACCAACAGGAGCCACGTATCAGTTTTACAGCTGCTGATGCAGCAGGTACGCTTTGACAAGCGATTGCACTACTGATTTCAGACATTAAGGCTTTAAAGCTGTGTCCTGCAAAGAGCTCAGGGCTTTTGCTTGGTAGTTTTTCAGCTGTTAGCCCTAATCAAAACGTCATAAATGAGGGAAAACTGCTCATGGCACGCATAAGTGAGTGTGATTTCTAACCTCCTGTGAAGAGGCAAGTCATACAAGTCCTATCTCCACAAGCACTGAATGCATATTAATACTCTTGGGCTGCTGTAAAAGGAACTGGCACCAAACACGCCATTAAGCAATCAAGACCATAACAACCAGTCTGCTCGACAACCCTAGAAGACATTCTGTGTTTAAATTCAGCTTGAATTTACACGATATGAAATGGAGTAGTTAAAAAGACCCCAAACTACTATGTTAAAATGGAGAAAAGAACATGGTGCTGTCACCCAAACCATGTTAGGAAGTCAGGTCATAGCTTCCCAGCAGCAGCTGCTAATGGAAAGCAGTGGACAAGGATTCATCAAACCCTCCCTCTTACACGCACCATTGCCCATAGTGAGGGTCACCTCATTGCACTTGCCACTGATGAAACCCACATGGAATATTAGGTCAAATGCTAAATCACAACACACATTAAACCATTCCAGTTTTACAGGTCACCAAGGGAAGGGATGGCAACATGACAGGAAGCAGTAAAAGGCAAATTGTGTTTGCCTTCCATCTTCAGGTACAAATTCATGTAAAATACCCCAATAAAACACAGTTTAAAACACAGGTTAGGTCCTCTAGCAGAGCAAGATTTACCTGATGGAATACAGGCTCTTTCAAATTCAAGTAAACCTGGAAAGATTAAAAAGAGAAGTGATTTACAACAGAGAACAGCATAACATTAATCTAAATACTGCCAAGACTTGTTCTGCTGGAATCAAGACACAAGCGCCTATACATGCGCTATAAAAGTTGCTTAAACATCGTTTCCTCTGGCAAAACCTGAGGGTTTAATTGTGGAATGATTTTAAATTAAAGAGCACAAACAGAGACATTAACATCTAGAATCAACTCATTTAATAAGAGTTGCAACACACAGAAAAACAACTAAGATGCAGGAATTACCAGTCTCAGTATGCACTGCAAGAAGCAAACGTACTCTAGTTTGAATTGCTATTCTTCATGGGTTCTGACAATGCTTTAGAATTTCATCAATTCATTTTACAAAATAGCTTTTCCTATTGTTTATGCAGCACATTTCATTCCTGCTTTGGAAGAGAGAAGGGCACTGGACCTTCAGCATAACATACCGTAAGTGTAAAACATCTTAGGAGGCAGAGAACAGTATTTTGATGGCAGAAATGACCTATTATAATACCTCTTATTTAAAAAAAATTGGCTATCAATACAGATAACAAAGGGAATTCCATCTGCAGTTGACAGGCAGCAATAAACTTGTTTTAGTCATAAAGGGAACACACAGCACTGGGAAAGGGAATCAAGTCACGACAGTTTGAATTATTCTATTTAACACCTCTGTTCCTTTCTTATTCTGGCTGCTGTTTTAAACCACCATTCAATAGCCTGGACTGTGTATCACCTTTTGCAGTCTGTTGAACAGAATTATTCTCATTTCTGTAAATGAATTAAAGACAGGGAAGATGAGGAATGCAGCTTGTCTGAGGTACCACACGCCAGCAGTGACTGCTTTTCTTACATTCTTATTCTAGCAACGGGATTACTGCTTTCCTTTTTCATTTATTCTATACAGGGTTTGGACAGAAAGGTTTCAAGTTTCTTTCTCTGTTCTGGAGCCAGGCTGAGAGAGCTGGGCTGGGTCAGCCTGGAGAAGAGAAGGCTCCTGAAGGGGAGACCTGAGAGCAGCTCCAGTGCTTAAAGGGGCTACAAGAAACCTAGACAGGGATTTTGGACAAGGGCCTGTAGGGCCAGGACAAAGGGAATGGCTTTAACCTGCCAGAACAGGGGATGTTGAGATGAGCTCTTAGGCAGAAGCTCTTCCCTGTGAGGGTGCTGAGGCGCTGGCACAGGGTGCCCAGAGAAGCTGTGGCTGCCCCATCCCTGGCAGTGTTCAAGGCCAGGTTGGACACAGGGGCTTGGAGCAAGCTGCTCTAGTGGAAGGCATCCCTGCCCGTGGCAGGGGTTGGAGCTGGATGAGATTTAAGGTCCCTTCCAACCCAAACCACTCTGGGATTCTACAGTTCTCTGACCAGCACAATTTTCCCAGCCAAAGAATGATTTGTCCTTCTTGACTGGATGTGAGCAGAGATCCAGTGCTGCCTCTATAACATTCCTTCAGTGGCAGGAAAACTGTCAAACTACAGGTGGAAATGCCATATTAGAAAATACTTACTATGCTGACTACGAAGCTGTATGTTATTAACAAGAAAAGCAGTGGATAATTGACTGTGTTCTTGTACTTGAAACATTCATACCTGGAAGAGAATATAAAGAAGAGTGATAACATTCATCTCTTATCATATAAAGGATGCATTTTTTCAAGGTATGTTCACAAACTTTGTGAGCAAATTGATCCAAATGAGTCTTAGGCACTTTAAGAAACCGTATCTCCTCCAATAAAGATGTGTCATTTTATAATAAAAATCCATAATTTTACCAATAAATGTGTCTTTTTAAACAAATCTAATGCAAAAGCCCCACTAAGCTCATGCATATAGAGTCAGTGGAAGAATTTGGGAATCAGAAGCACTTTCAGAAGGCGCTTAAGGGGTGATAATGGATGGCAAATTAGAAATGACATTCAAATGCAATACAGCTGCCAAAACCCATTACATCTGTGAGCTAAAGGCAGTGTGGGAAAGGGGCTGCCTTACAAAACACTGAACTCCAGAGGTCTGTTCAAATGCAGATTGTTTATGGCTTTACACAGTCACAGTGCAGTAAATTTGTCAGACTGGGTAGTGGTAGAAGTGAAAGGTAGAAGCAGCTAATTGCTGCCAGCATGTAAAACAACTCATTGAAATTAGCTTTACAGTCTTTACACTATGGTTCAGTCACAGCTGTGATGGAATAACACACACGGACTGCATCTCCATCAGAAAAACACAACAAAAATTACCTGTGAGAAGCACAGGAGCACTAGGGCTAGGGGCAGGTGTCTGTGTCCCTCCAAGCTACATCTAGCCAGTTTGTTTCTTTATAAACTTCTATGTTTTAGACACCGTCATGGATGAATAAAAGGAAACAAAAAAACTATTAGGAATATCTGGGGGAAAAAAAATTACAAGAGCACAATGTGCTACATTGCAGAATGGCTCTGCAAAGTAATGAGACAGCTTGAGAGGCAGGAGAACCTTATAGCAGTCTTCCAATATCTAAAGGGGCTACAGGAAAGCTGGAAAGGGACTTTAGACAAGGGCCTGTAGGGACAGGCCAAGGGGAATGGCTTTAATCTGCCCAAGGGGAGACTGGGCTGAGCTCTTAGGCAGAAGCTCTTCCCTGGGAGGGTGCTGAGGCGCTGGCACAGGGTGCCCAGAGAAGCTGTGGCTGCCCCATTCCTGGCAGTGCTCAAGGCCAGGTTGGACACAGGGGCTTGGAGCAAGCTGCTCTAGTGGAAGGGGTCCCTGCCTGTGGCAGGGGTTGGAACTGGATGAGCTTTATGGTCCCTTCCAACCCAAACCAGTCTGGGATTCTATGTACAAGGGAATGTCCTGTGCAGAACTACCTTCAAAGAAAACAAAATGATTATTAAAGGCCTCTTCAACTAAACATTAGCTCATTTTCACAACACTCTAATTACGATCAGACATATGTACACAGAATCTTATTAAAGCCATGAATGCAGTTACAGACTTCAGCGCTTTTGAAGATAACAGAGTAACCATTGCACAAAATAAGCATGATTTTCGTATTCTAACAGATCTTTATAGCCACTTCTCGTCCTTTTCCCCAGTCACATTCAAACCAGACAAAATAAATGCAAAGGCAATTTCAAGGCAACAGGGAGCTACAGTGGAAGTATTTCCACTAACAGAGGCATTACAATTCTGATCCAGACTTTGCACAAACCATACTAATGTATGAATCACAAACTGATGGGGAGTTCCACAGACGTAGGTTTAATCCTACAGCATCCCATCACCACCGCAAGCTCCCAGAGATGCCCCAGTTTTCAATGGCTGAATATTTGCTATGTTCAAAAGCAAAAAAGACGATTTTTTTCCTGTCTTTTTGTCTGCAACAACTTGATTTATGGTTTGGATTTTCCAAGTGACAGAACAAATGATGTTAAATCCAGGCCTTGCAGCAACAGGCAGGAAAAAGCCAACTTACGGTATCTTTGCAGTTGCCAAACGCTACATTGCTCCCAAAATGAAACAGGAGAAAACGTCTTGGCATGGCATTAAGCTGTCATGCATGTTCCAAGACACTCTGCCCAAAATATGCACTCAGCTCCTCATAAAACTCTTTCTTCTTTAATTTTCCACATGAGTGGAGAGCAGGTTTAACCAGAAATCTGAGATTCGCATTTGGAGTCAGACTACAGCACAGAAATACAGCTCAAATCCATTCATTTTGGAGGTGTTACTGAAACTGATTTATTAGGGCTGCTGCTCACATACCAAGTAAGGCTGAGCTCTGGTTGTACACTACAGAAAGTCTCTAAGAAGAAGTATGTCTTTTTCCTATTAAACAAACACTGGTGAAACATCACTAAATAAGCAAGAACTAGGACTGAAGCCAGCTTGGTGCTCTAATGGCCAAATCGTAACGCTGCAAAACAGAGATCTCACTGAAAGCAGTAGAAGCTTCTGTGTCAGCCTCACTAGACACCAGATTGGGCTTCACAGATACTAAATGGTTACTAGTTTATAAATATTCAGAAAGAAATAACAAGTACTTACAGGCAGTAGACAAACACACAACAACTGTATATCATTGGCAGCTCATCCAACAGCTATAAAAAGCAGAGACATCAAAACATGAAAAGTACTTTTAACTCACAGTAAATTCATTAAGGAGAGAGAAGTCTTAAGAAAACAGGAGTTTATAAGTCATTTGGAGAGGGCCTCTACATCAGGGACTGTAGTGATAGGACAAGGGGTGATGGGTTCAAACTGAAACAGGGGAAGTTTAGATTGAATATGAGGAAGAAGTTCTACCCTGTGAGGGTGCTGAGGCACTGGCACAGGGTGCCCAGAGAAGCTGTGGCTGCCCCATCCCTGGCAGTGTTCAAGGCCAGGTTAGACAGAGCCTTGGGTGCCATGGTTTAGTGTGAGGGGTCCCTGCCCATGGCAGGGGGTTGGAACTGGATGATCCTAAGGTCCTCTGAAACCCAAACCATTCTATGATTCTATATCCACCTTCCTGACTGTACTTCAAATCCCATCCCACTGAAAGATCCTGCATTAATAAGCTTATTACACTAAATCTTTAGTATATGATGTCTCATAAAAAGCCCACCCTTCAAAGGATCATGCCATTTGTACTGTTCATACCTCCTAAAACACTGGTAAGAATTAGTTTTGGGAAGTCAGCCTAGATATAACTGCTCAATACAAGCAGCAGCATCTTCTTGCTTCTGGGCAAACTCCACAGAGAAACTGAAATGCATTTTTCCCATATGATAAAATAGAACTTTAGGCCCTTAGGGAAGTGTGTTGTGATGTGCTTGCACGTTCCTGACTTTGGAACCTTCTCACATTGTGTTAATTCAGAGACAGGGTTTTGAGAGTTCAGATGAGCTCTTAGGCAGAAGCTCTTCCCTGTGATGAGGCGCTGGCACAGGGTGCCCAGAGAAGCTGTGGCTGCCCCATCCCTAGCAGTGTTCAAGGCCAGGTTGGACACAGGGGCTTGGAGCAAGCTGCTCTAGTGGAAGGGGTCCCTGCCCGTGGCAGGGAGTTGGGACTGGATGAGCTTTGAGGTCCCTTCAAACCCAAAGCATTCTAGGATTTCCATTTACTATGGGGGAAGTACAGACTGCCAGCACACACTTCTGAACATAGGCTTCTTAGTTTTGAACTTGATTCAAAGATCAGTTTCCCTTATCTTCTCACATCTAAAACAGGACCAGCCTCCTTGCGTCCCTTTAGAATGGCTTGTACTTGAGAATAAGAAAGAGAGGAAGACTCAGCTGTTGCTACTCAGAAGATACTGACTTCACTATTAATGTTACAGGTACATCTAGATTAGTAGAACACAGAAAACATTAAGATGAAAAAAAGGGATACAATAAATAGTAATAACTCTAATCTTATTAACCCACAGTTGTGTGAAAAGATAGCATAACTTCCCAAAGGTTGAAGTGTCTTCTACCAACGTAATTGCTTATAGCTTTTATTTTAGGGTTTATATGTCTGTATACCTATTGATGGAGAACAAGACCTGTGCTACTCCCATTGAGAGCAGGAGTCATGTACAATGATACTTAAGGTAGATTAACTCTTGCTGTATGAGTTTCATTTAGACAATAATATGACTTTATACATAGATACATACATAAAGCGATTCTCATCTATTTATGAATACTCACCTGCATTTCATACTTCAGGGTCATGTGGAAGCACCAAGATCCCAATCCCACAGCTGAAAACAAATCAAAGCTATGGTTAACATAAAAGTCTATATGGAAATCTTTGCAGTACATTAATTTCAATGCATAAACTTTACTGGGGAAAAAAAAAACACATTAGAACATCAGCATCCCATTTCAGGGACAACCCCCCAGTCTCTCCAGCCTTCTACTTTACATTTTAGTAACCAGTGATGTGCTCGAATTTATGGGGTTCTCAATACTGTCCCCTATGAATCTCAAGGAGGACAGAAGCAGAGGAAACCCAGAATGAATGGGACATCACTATTCCATTTCTCTTTCAAGTACATTAAGATTTATCTGTCTTAATCCTTCTATAAGGCAAAGCATCGCTCAACTGCCAATACTGCTGAAAGCCTGTGATATTTCTGGTTATTGTCCAGATTGAAAAGGTATATTTTACAAGGAGCTTGTCATCAGCTCTAGAAGCAGAAATTAGTTGCTGCTGGAACTCAGAACTAGAAGGTCAGGGTAAACAGATAAAGCCCACACAGCAGGGATTCATTGCATGAAATGAGATCACCATTCCCAAGCTGCCTGCTTGGAAGCTCACCCTTCTGTGTAATGATTTTCATTGACTTGAAATAGTTGATTTTTAAACTCTGAAGTTAATTTATGAGATATACACTTTGCCTATACACAGCTTTTTCAGTCAGACAAGGACAATGTTTCTTGGAAGTTATATCACTGTTCAGAGCAAAGCTGGTCGAGCGGTTAATGTATCATTCATCACTTGGAAATGTTATCAGTGAAACACTCTCATTAAGCACCAGCTCATTTTTATTTTGCAAGAACAAGTCCATTAATATGAAGTCTTGTCTCCCTTCAAGAAATTATGTTTTACCTCAGACTGCTTTCAGAGAAAGCCAAATCATTTGCACTCAAGCCTCGATCACTGGGTAGTGCTGCTGTGCTGCAGGACCTGAACTTTGTCTACACAAGGCAGTGAGATCTCACTGATGCCTTAATAGACTTACTGAACACTTCCCTGGAAGCTTAAGGTCAGGGTGGATGGGGCTTGGCGCAACCTGCTCTAGTGGAAGGTGTCCCTGCCCGTGGCAGGTGGTTGGAACTGGATGAGCTAGAGCTTATCCAACCCAAACCAGTCTGGGATTCTATAACTCACTCTAACAGCTCTGCGTTCTACAAAGGATTCCCAAGGCAGGCCATTAGACATCTTTGGATGCAATCAGACTAGAATTGTGATTATTACATGTAATCAATGAAACGAAATACCTAAGCATGTAACCTCACTGATACAGTGACACTTACACATGTATTGCCAAATACACTAATGTCTTTAATTCTCTGGGAAAAATAAGCATGGCTGTCCACCAGAACATAAACCACCCTAGTGGAAGGTGTCCCTGCCCACGCCAGAGGATTGGAACTGGGTCAGCTTTAAGGTCCCTTCCCACACAAACCATTCTGTGACTCTAATGATTATTCATTAGATGACACTCTCCCTCTCAGACACCACCTCCTCAAACACTACTGTGGTAACTATGCACAATAGCATCTCTTTGAAGAAATGGTTTAAATGAAGACTAAGGAACTAAACATGATTCTTTACATATCTCATTTATACCTGCTTACTGCAAAGGCACAACTTATAAACATTTTACAGTAGACACTGAATGAGCTAAGAACCATGTTTCTCATTGGAAGATGTTATATCTTAAGAGAGAACTGTGCAAAAAGCTTTGTGAACCTCTTCCAAAAGGAGGAAGAAAAGACTGCATTAAGAGATGAAGTGTAGCAGCTGAAGCATATGACATATTCTGCTTCACTAACATCACTATATAACTGGTAAACTTCAGCAGAAGGGAGCTGATACCTAATACTGCACTCACTGGGCCGAGAGCTGTGCTCATCAGAGTTGCTGTCTCATGGCTTAACGCACCATGGTTCAGTGCTGAGAACATTGCAATGCAGAAAGAAGAAACACCCATCACATGCCAAGGATCACAAAGAAATCTTTATTTCCTCTACTATACCCACAGCACACTACCCTTTTGTCATGTATTTTAACTTGTGAATTTAGAAAGGGTTTGACATGTATTTGTCTCCTGTAAATTAACAGTTTAATACTTGAGCTCAAATGTCTTCACATATAACTTCTACCTCCAGTTCTACAGGGATGCAGCTACCTTTAGATATACTTCTCATCACATAATTTCAGGGTCAAGGCATTTCTAAGGAATACTAGAGAAGCTGTAGCTGCCCCATCCTTGGAAGTGTTCAAGGACAGGTTGGAGGGGGCTTGGAGCAACCGACTCCAGTGGAAGGTGTCCCTACCCGTGGCAAGGGGTTGAAACTGGATGAGCTTTAAGGTCTCTTCAACCCAAACCAGTCTGGGTTTCTATGATTCTATCAATATTTACTTCACAAAACCCATCATTGCAATGAGATGTTCTACCAGCTTTGTACTTTCCAAAATACTAGTGACCACCACCACTGCAATTACACCAAGTTTCAATAGAAGGAGCTTTCCCATATAGCCATCAACAGCCCAGCAGGGCTAAAAGCTTACATTTTAGGTGTTTCCTTTTGCAAAGGAGCTTCAGTCACTGAAAGCTGTGAATCAGTTGGGAAGCTTTAGCACCACCTGAAGCAATACTATTTCCTTTCTAAGTACTGTAACTCACTTTGCATAGGTACTGCAAGTCACTCAGCATCTTAACATCAACCAACCTCTCAAGTTAAGGGGGATACATATAACTTATGTATTAAGCACAGAATACACATTAAGTCACAGTATTATGAGATCAGAATAGCACTTTAAAAGACTGGAAACACAAAGTCAGGTTAGCTGCTGTATGTGGACTAACATGGTTCTTTTTGCCCTGCAGCAAATACAATGTGTAGTTACTATCAGTTGATGTGTTAGTGATGACATAAAAGCAATGCATCTGCAAACTGTACTTCATACATAGCTATATGGCTGTGCAACACCATCAAAGACTGGAAGGCAATATCCATGCTAGGAATAATTTGAAATTACACATGAGATCCAGCTCCATATATGAACCACAGAAACTCTCTGGATTTGAACCTCACAAGGACACAAATATCCCCTATGGATTTTTCAATAGTTTTAGGAAGACATATCACATAAGCAGAGACAGGTCATTTCAGATGAACTTTGATCCATCAAATTCAAGATCCTTATCATAGGCCTAAAGCCTTTATAGAAAAAATACTACTTATGAGGATTTCAGAGACGTGGTTTGAATTTAAACTGTAAAGGTACTGTATGAAAACATTCCAAAGGAAGGATGCTCCAGATGCTAACACCCTTATTTAGGCATCTATACATGAACTGGCATTATAAAGAGTAAGTCAAATACATGGGGATATTTCAGGATGAGCCAAATGATTCTCTAGGCTTTACTGACTGCAATGGCAGATGGACCCCTCTGTAGAGATAAGCATTTAGGTGTATGAATCCAGAGCTGAATCCCATCTATGACTTACAGCGACTGAACTGAAGATCACCACCACCACACTACATCATAGACAGTCAAAGAATGAAACAAGATGAAAAAGCAGAATTAAATGAACAGTTCTTAGGGAATGATGATAGTTTGTAATGGTTTCCCTCCACAGCATAAGAGATGGGAAAGACCTGGTTACAAGGAATGTGGAGCATGGCTAAGACTGTTCCCAGACACTAACTCAACCCTCTGTGCTTGTGACTTGTCAGAGCAGTTGGTGGTGTGAATCTGTGCCAAGCTCCCCTGAGAAGCTCCCAGGCACGTCACAGCAGCCAGAAAGCTCCAGGGCTGTGCCCAGCAGAGAATTTGTATGCAGCCACCTCGCTTTGGAGGCTAAGATGAACAGACACACAGAGGCTGTTCCACGCTGCTTGGCTCCAGCACTCAGGAGTGCTCCCAAGCACATCTGATTTACTAACATGGACGTGGCCTAAGCACCTTCTCTGCAGTTATTAGGTAAGAATACGGGCATTACCTCTGACTGAAGGGCTCCTAATAACTATTTTCACAGACACAGGGGGTTTCACTAGACATGGAGTAAGTTGTTTATGACTATGTCTAATGTAGAGAACGTTCTGCATCCTTTTTTTCCCTCCCCTTTGGCACAGCTTAAACGATTGAGCCCTATTAAACAGGCCAAAGAAATACAAACCAACACGATTCTTCCAGATTTAAGTAAGTAAAGTGACCAAGTAAAGCGTCCAAGTAAAGCATCTAATAAAGTACTTCAGTGACTGCTTTTTCTGGCCTTCTTAGGTTCAAAGAAGTTACACCCCTTCTCTTTTATATATGTAGACACACACACTGACATGTATATATATATACACATATATAAGTAGCTTTTTCTTAAAATCAAGACTCTTTTATAACACCAACTATTTGGTTTTCATGGCTTCCCAGGACACAAGAAAATGACATATGGTAGAACCTGATACAATACCACAGCATCATAGGGTCTGAAGAGTAAGTCTTATGAGGAACAGCTGAGGACCTGGGGGGTTCAGTCTGGAGCAGAGCAGGCTCAGGGGGGACATGATCACTCCCTACAAGTGCCTGACAGGAGGATGGAGCCAGGAGGGACTGGGCTCTGCTCCCAAGGAACAAGGGATGGGACAAGAGGAAACGGCCTCAAGCTGCACCAGGGCAGGTTTAGATGGAGCTGAGGAACAATTCCTGCCCCAGAGGGTGCTCAGGCATTGGAACAGGCTGCCCAGGGCAGGGCTGCAGTCACCGACCCTGCAAGGGTTCACACCCCATGGAGACGAGGCCTCAGTGCCATGGGGCAGTGGTGGCCTTGGCAGTGCTGGGGAATGGTTGGAGTGGGTGAGCTTAAAGGGCTTTCCCAACCTGGTTGACTCTGTTCTATGATAGAGAAAATCAAACCCCCATGGTTTATCCTTCAAGGTAATGACAGCCTGATGATTTGTTCCACTTACTTCATGAGATGCAACAAGCCAACTTAAGATTCTTCCTCATAGTAACCTAAAGCTTACAAATCAAATCCAGTTCCTGATGAGTTCATTGACAGCATTCCCTTTGAGCCCAAAAGCACCAGAAATAAGGGCTGAGAACAGTGGGCTGTATCTCAGAGAATTTGCTGAGAAGTGCAACTCAGCACCAGTATGAACAAGAAATTCATTTGTACAGTTATTTAGAAATCCCCTTCTTGTCCTGCCAACTTTGGATCTTAGCATATATGTGAAATGAAGAGAGCTTCCCAAATGCAAAATGCATTTGGTTCCAAGAGGAAATACATCCTGACAAAAGAAATTGTGGGGTTTAAATTGAAGCACCGAACACAGCATGGTAAAACACAAAGAAATCATAAAACCAGTGAACAGTTTGGGTTGGAAAGGACCTTTAGATCATCCAGTTCCAACCCCCTGTCATGGGCAGGGATGCCTCACACCAGACATGTCACCCAAGGCTCTGTCCAACCTGGCCTTGAACACTGCCAGGGTTGAAGCACCCTGTGCCAGCACCTCAGCACCCTCACAGTAAAGAACTTCTTCCTTATCTCCAACCTGAACTTCCCCTGTTTCAGTTTGAACCCATCACCCCTTGTCCTATCACTACAGTCCCTGATGAAGAGTCCCTCTCCAGCATCCTTGTATGCCCCCTTCAGACACTGGAAGCTGCTCTGAGGTTTCCACGCAGCTTCTCTTCTCCAGGCTGAACAGCACCAACTTTCTTAGAATTTAACTTAATGTTAAATGCACTGCTCCTTTCCAGATTAAATCTACCCTTGTTTGTTACAAATTAAGTCAGCAGAGTAAAATCTGTTAATAAATCAAATTACTGTAAGGGAAAGAATTCTCTCTGGTACTTTCTTACAAAAAGAAATTTCTCTACACTTACTTCATCTCCACTTCAGCATGCCCCTCATTCAGTCACATGCACAGAAAGCATGCCAATGTTCCTGGCACATTTCAACTCTATTTCAAGTTCTCTTTATCTCCATATTTGCTTCTTTTGCTCTGTAGTAGAACAAATGTTAAAAGGTTTGTGATTCCAAACCATCCTGTTCCTGGTTTTCACTGAGCAACTATAAAGCTTTCTGCATTCCTTTACATCTTTCAACTGCTATGAAACATTAGGAATAGTGAAGCAGAGGCAAAACAGAAGAGAGATGTTCTTGGGAGCAACCTTTAATGGCAGGTTCCAACCTATGAGATGAAAATCAAATCATGCAAGCATTTATCACTTCAGACAGGAGTCAAAGGCATCCCAGGGCCAGATAGCAGAGCACAGCTGGAACTCAGGACTGCCCTCCAGTACTGCTGTCAAATACACAGGCTGAGCTCCCCTTCATGGACACAAAGGACAGTATAAAACTGAATGAAGTCCACGGTATTTATTGTGATCACTCAGACCTTTGGGGTTGTTTTCCACACATCAAACAGTATATGAGAAATGTCCACTCAAGCCAGTCTTGCTGTGACAGCCTGACACTCTGGTCAGATAGCAGCACACTCTGTCCATCACAATGTGTCACTGACAGAGGTAGCAACAAGCTACAGGGAGGACTGAGTCTCAAACATAGAGTTTTACTATTTGCATTTGACCTCAGAGCAGCCTTCCAGTATCTGAAGGGGGCTACAAGGATGCTGGAGAGGGACATTTCATCAGGGACTGTAGGGACAGAACAAGGGGTAATGGGTTAAAACTGAAACAGGGTAGGTTCAGGTTGGATGTATGGAAGTTCTTCCCTGTGAGGCTGGTGAGGCACTGGCACAGGGTGCCCAATGAAGTGGTAAATGCTCCATCCCTGGCAGTGTCCAAGGCCGGGTTGGACAGAGCCTTGGGTGACATGGACTAGTGTGAGGTGTCCCTTCCCATGGCAGGGGGTTGGAACTGAACGATCTTAAGGTCCTTTCCAGCCCAAACTATTCCATGATTCTCTGATTTATTGGCATTAACTTAGAAAGAATAGCAAAATGGGATACTCTGATTAAAGAAGATGCAAAAAGTCAACTTCAGCAAACGCTGACACACTGTTTTTTCCTGTCTTTTTAGACGTAAACCTCAACCTTCAAGAATTCCTGCTGCCAAACCGTGTTCTCCTAAGACAAAAATGAATAATTACTCAAACCCATAAAAAGCCTACAAATGGCTATTTGGAAAGCATTCAGACACATCCAAAGCTGTACGTTGCTGCTGCTTCTCTTTCACACATCAGCAAAGCTGACGCTAAGAGACCATGAAGTTGTACCTAGTGTATGTTGCAGTTTAACTGGTTTCAAGAATACATTTAGCATATGGATATGTGGTTTTCAACAGTGTTTGTCTAAATAGGGAAGTGTGCCATTCTTAGAAGTAGCATTTCTACTGCAGTGATAGCATGTCTGCTGTAGTGGGACTGTAGTGACAGGACAAGGGGTAACGGGGAAGTTTAGACTGGATACAGGGAAGAAGTTCTTTACTGTGAGGGTGCTGAGGCACTGGAATGGGTTGCCCAGGGAAGTTTTGAATGCTCCATCCCTGGCAGTGTTCAAGGCCAGGTTGGACAGAGCCTTGGGTGCCACGGTTTAGTGTGAGGTGTCCCTACCCATTGCAGGAGGGGTTGGAACTGGATGATCTTAAGGTCCTTTCCAACCTTAACTACTCTATGATTTACTATAAATCACCAAAGACTGGGAAGGATTTAACTTTCCACAGAGATAAGAGGTATAGCAAACACAGAAACCTGTGAAACACAGGAATTCTGTGAAACTTGCTTTGAGACCCAACTGCCAAATCTGAATCACCTTCAAACATCTTTCCTCATAAGGAAAATAACTTTGGGTTACATAAGGCCAGGTAAGACAGGGCTTGCAGCAACCTGCTCTAGGGGAAGGTGTTCCGGCCCATGGCAGGGGGCTGGAACTGAATGAGCTTTAAGGTCCCTTCCAACCCAAACCAGTCTGGGATTCTATGTACAAGGGAATGTCCTGTGCAGAACCACCCCATCACCTACCTTCAAGGAAAACAAAATAATTATTAAAGGCCTCCTCAACTAACCTCATTCTTTGCAGCATTTTAATTACTATCAGCCATACAGAGTTGTTAGAGCTATAAATGCAGTAACAGACTTCAGTGCTTTTACAGATAACAGAGTAACCATTAATGTTTTAAAGAAAGTTGGTTCTTTTCTGGATTTTGCTACTTTAAAGAATAGACTGCCCTTAAGTTCACCTCTGCACTAATGTCACATTGTTCTTCCACCCCTGCACAACTTCCCAGACACAATGGCATTTTACTGGTGATACACGCCAAAGAGGAACTGAAAACAAATGCAAACTCATTAAAGAAATCCCTTCCATTTCCCTCAGGATCTCAGCCATTTCTTGTACTACTGTTCCAAACAAATGTCACAAAGATATTAATATGGTGTGAAACTGTTTGGAAGTAGGACACACAGGACATCGTCTGTAAATGATCAGAAAAGGAAGCAGGAAGCTAAGATGCACTGAGAAGGACTTCAAGCCAGAAGAGGATCACTTCAAAATCTCATATAATTATTAAGTGAATTCTATCTTTATGTGATGTTATTTTTCATGTTCATTACAGGTGGACAGATGTTATTTGCTAAGACAGTAAACATCATCAGTGCACTAAGCTGAGTTCAATATTCAACATCAAACAGGCAATGTCAGTTTAGAAGAGAAAACTCAGTTCCTGTTCAGCCTAAGGAGGAACTTGCTCCTTTTACTTCCTGAAACTTCCAAAATCCAGGGAGCAACAGGATACACCACCAAAATTATGCCACAGTGACTGACCAAGGCTTTAATTTAGACTACATTTGGTACATGTTGTTCTACAAGCCCAAAGAAGTGGTGAATGCTCCATCCCTGGCAGTGTTCAAGGTCAGGTTGGACAGAGCCTTGGGTGCCATGGTTTAGTGTGAGGTGTCCCTGCCCATGGCAGGGGGTTGGAACTGGGTGATCTTTAGGTGCTTTCCAACCCAAACCATTCTAGGATTCTATGTTTTCCTAACAAATAGCAATTTTCAGTAAACATTAACAAATATAACAGGAGGCTTACATTAAACACATATAGTATTTGGATTTAACTACTTGGTTAATTCCTATTTAGATACTATTCATTGCACATCAGAGCTCTCTTACTAATGAAACAGCACATGAAGCTTTACACATACCTGTAAGACACAAATATGCAGCTAAATAGCGTTTTTCAAGGCCATCTTTATGGGTCTGAATCGCACCATAGAGCGGAGGTACAATGAAAATCAGGTTACTCACTGTGTTCCCTGTAAGACAGAAACCAAAAGCAGAGATTTAGAATTGGGTACTATGTACTTTAAATAAATAAAGCTGCATTCACTCATTAAAGAAAGGTTCAACAGTTTTCATCCACAGAGCTGCACCTTTTCAGATGTTGTTTTTGGCTTTCACACATAATACAAAGTTTAATCTTGGTACAACACATGTAACTACTTAAAGGCTAAAAACCCTCTAATTCTTCTTTATTCACATCTATGGACAGTAATAAAAACCCCATTTAACTAAAAAGTTCTGTTTGGATGGTGGTTACTTTCTTGGCAACAGGCAGTAAAATGGGGTTAAACTGACTACACAGCTCCTGAATTAAACCCCAATCCCTTAAGGAGATAAAAGCCCCAAATAGTTCAAGCCTGGTATTTAAAAGAGTTGCTTGTTTGGCTTGTTTTTTCCTTTTCTTAAACCTATTCTTGGAATTCCCTCCTCCACACTCCCTTCAGATACTTTAAGGTCACCAAGTGACTCATTCCCAAATGAAACCGGTTCAAGCTTTACTATTCATGCGCTGGTCACTGTGCACACACAGAACAACTTGGGTGGAGTGAACCATCACAGATCACAGCCTGCAGAGGTGGGTCTGTGCAAACCTCATGGAGTTCAACAAGGCCAAGGGCAATGTCCTACCCCTGGGTCGGGGCAATCCCAGCACAAACACAGGCTGGGGGTGACTGGATGGAGCAGCCTGAGGAGAAGGACTTGGGGTGTTGGGTGAGGAGAAGCTCCCCATGACCCGGCTTCAGTGTGCACTTGAGCCCAGAACCCCCCTGTGTGCTGGGCTGCACCCAGAGCGTGAGCAGCAGCTCAGGGAGGGGATCCTGCCCCTCTGCTGTGCTCTGGAGAGACCCCCCCTGCAGTCCTGATCCAGCTCTGGGGCAGCAGCACAAGAGGGATGTGGAGCTGTTGGAGCAAGGCCAGAGGAAGCCACAGAGACAGAATCACAGAATGGCTTGGGTTGGAAAAGACCTTAAGCTCATCCAGTTCCAACCCCCTGCCATGGGCAGAGACATCTCACACTAAACCATGTCACCCAAGGCTCTGTCCAACCTGGCCTTGAACATTGCCAGGGATGCTGTGAGGGCTGGAGCAGCTCTGCTCTGGAGCCAGGCTGAGAGAGCTGGGCTGGGGCAGCCTGGAGAAGAGAAGGCTCCTGAAGGGGAGACCTGAGAGCAGCTCCAGTGCCTAAAGGGGCTGCAGGAAAGCTGGAGAGGGGCTTGGGACAAGGGCCTGTAGGGACAGGCCAAGGGGAATGGCTTTAACCTGCCCGAGGGGAGACTGAGATGAGCTCTTAGGCAGAAGCTCTTCCCTGTGAGGGTGCTGAGGCGCTGGCACAGGGTGCCCAGAGAAGCTGTGGCTGCCCCATCCCTGGCAGTGTTCAAGGCCAGGTTGGACACCGGGGCTTGGAGCAAGCTGCTCTAGTGGAAGGTGTCCCTGCCCGTGGCAGGGATTTGAACTGGATGAGCTTTAAGGTCCCTTCCAACCCAAACCTGTCTGTGATTGTACAGTGGTGATTTCTTTAAGACCACTCTCCCAATCTGATTTAGATGGTTTTTCACTGTCCTGGCTAAGCAAAAGTACAAGGAAATATTGAGAAGTTTAAGTGAAGCGTAAGGAAATGGTACATTTCTCAGCAGAAGAAATGCAGATTCAGCTGTTTTTTGCCTAACCACAAATCATAATTTTGAGAACGAATGGGAATAAAATGACATGCAATTTAGGAAAAAGATCAAACCTATTAAAAAAAACACAGACTATTGCTCACATAAATTACACTGCACACTTTCACACGCCATTGGTTAGATATCTATAACACTGAAACACCAATTTCCAAATCCTTTAATGAGAAGTACAACAGATGAGGCTATATAGAGGCAGAAAAAACTTCAGAAAGTGCTGAATAAAAGAGTTTCACTTCTTAAAACAAAGCACAAGAGTGTGCAGGCCATGTCTGAACCAATACTCTTAATACGAGCACTTATATAGAGTGATACAAGGGGTAAGAGGTTCAAACTGAAACAGTGGAAGTTTAGATTGGATATAAGGAAGAAGTTCTTTACTGTGAGGGTGCTGAGGCACTGGAACGGGTTGTCCAGGGAAGCTGTGAATGCTCCATCCCTGGCAGTGTTCAAGGCCAGGTTGGACAGAGCCTTGGATGACACGGCCTGGAGTGGGGCTTCCCTGCCATGGCAGGGGGTCGAAACTCAGTGATCTTAAGGTCCTTTCCAACCCTAACTATTCTATGATTCTATATTTCAGGAGTCCTGCTGCAGAAGATCCATCCCAAAGAAAAGTGAAACTACCAAACTATGACCATAAAATCCCAAAGAATTACAGCACCTCCGGGATCAAAAATCCATACTTAGAGGTTTGCAAAAAATTCAGTTCCAAATGGAAATAAGGCTCTTTGAAGCAGAGATGTACCTACGTAACAAGGTTGCTCTTCTAAATCCTCACAAAGTAGATTCAAATCTCAATTTGAGACAGTTCTCAACCAGGTAAAAATCACATCTGATTCTTATCACACCTTCCTCATTGATTTAACATCATCTCCTGCAAGCCATGAATTTCACCAAGTTATAACAAGCAAAACAGACATGCCAGAGACTTCACTCTTCTTGTCAGCTCTGTACTATGTTCCTTCTTGTAAAAGAAGCCCAGCTGAAATCAAAACAGCTCTGCAAAGAAAAACAAGTTTATACCAAAGAAAAGGCCTTTTTCATGTTTAAATTCTTTGGGTTTAATTCTAAAGGTTAAATCATCATAGAATTGTTTGTGTTGGAAGGGACCTTAAAGCTCATCCAGCTCCAACCCCTGCCATGGGCAGGGACACCTTCCACTAGAGCAGCTTGCTCCAAGCCCCTGTGTCCAACCTGGCCTTGAACACTGCCAGGGATGGGGCAGCCACAGCTTCTCTGGCACCCTGTGCCAGCGCCTCAGCACCCTCACAGGGAAGAGCTTCTGCCTAAGATCTAATCATTAACCTTTTACCACATTCCCACAGTGTTGCAATGGGCAGTGATTCACTTTCAGTGGAGATCAGGTTTGGAAGAAATCCACTATAACTCAGTGTTGTGTAGTACACTGACCATTACCCCATCCTCCCATAAGCCATGCGAAGATGTCATCAGCCTCAAAAAGTAGAGCAAAGGCTATGTCTGGATAGTGAGTCTTCCGCTTTCTAAAGGAGCTCTCAAAGAGAAGCTTTTAGACATGACAGAAATATCACTTTTCAAGGTCACTTTGTTATGAAAGTGTCAAAAACCTGGCAAAAATCCAATGTGAAGATGCTGAACAAAAGAGATACCATCATGTTTACCCGCAACTGGGAAGGGACGTGACTTGAGAAGAGACCTGCAGCAGGAAAACAACTTTCAGATGGATGTAAGACTGCAGAAAGGGGTTCCTCTGGAGGAAGGGGAAGGTTTCCACACTTCCTGTAAAGCCATAATCATGTTAAATTACTGGTAATTTATGAGTGTTTAATCTAGGCCCATCTTGCTGCGAGAGGAAATACCACAGCCCTAATCTAGCTGTACATTCCTGCCACTCCTTCTGTTCACTTTTTGGCCTATATTATGCAGAACATTTGCAGCAGGGATTAGGCAAATCTCTTTGCAAAACATACAGAGAGTTGAGCAAAGGTTTTCAGAAGGGAAATGGGGGCAGAAGAGCAATGAAGTCCTCCAGCACGCTGCTGGCTAAATGACTTCTCTCCAGAACCAAAACGCTTTCAAAGGCAACGTCCCTCTGAGGGTCTATTTCACAGAAGTCCAGCTAGTCTTTAACAGGATTATCCTCCCATAGAATAGCTTATAAATTCATTTAAAAGGATTTTTAACTCGTTCCAGCAGTGGGATATGCACAGAGATTAGCAAACAATAGCAAGAAAGAACAAAAGGGTGACACAACCACAGGTCTGTAACTCGAAAGTTAATCAACAAGCAAGGAAGTGAAACAAGTATGGAAGGAAACAGATATGGAAGTTGAAACTGGGGGAAAAGTTCAACTGGGACAAAACCTCCTCTTTTACACCAGGTTTTTACAAAAGAAAGGAAAAATAAAGCAGCAGTTCTCTTTTGGAAAACCAGAGATTGGAGAGTTTGCCTCTAAGGGATGAGGCAAGAAGGTATGTAAAGTAATTGAAGCAGAAATTATTGGTTATGGCTGGAAGATACATGGTATATCCAAATCAGATGAATGCACATGGACGGATGAGGGTTTAGCTCTGTACAGCATTCTTCTACTTCAGTACTGGATTCCTTGAATGCTGGTCCAGAGAGTGATCTAGTTTTTCTTTAGTGACCACAGGCTTGTGCTTCAGCACATCTGTCAACATAAAGGATGACTGGTTTATCAGAAGAAGAAATGAATGAACTTGACGACTGCAATGACAGGAACAGGGTTAAATATGATGGCCAATGTCAATATGAACCCTTATTCCAAATGTAGGAGTAATCTATTTAAAGAGACAGAAAAGTGAATTAAGATTGTCTGGTGACTCACCATAAGATACCACTGCAGGCATCAAACCTCCTAAATTTATTTCCAGTAGAGGAAAGGAAAATAGTAATGTCTTCATGCCAGGCAATAGTAGACTATACTAGATAGTAACTACACTATCTAGTTACTGATAGAAGAAAAGAGAAAGCACATCAGGTGCAGAGAAGCATCACTTACATGGGAGTGATGAATGGGAGCTTACAACATCAGTAGGGATATAAACTGGTTAGCTCACCTAGCCTAACAAAACAGCAGCTGGATGGACAAAAAGACAAGGACAAAAGAGAACTAAAGGATAACACTGACCAAAGAATACACAGATATAAACTAACCCTAAGTAACAACTGTGGGCTGGAATTGAGAGTAAAGCTTCCCACTGAAGAGGAGATGTTTACCACTGCTTCCCAACAGAAGTGGGCAGCACAATGAACCCACCTGCTTTCAGGATGAAGCTCAGTAAACTTAAAAGCCA